TCCCCACCCTCCCCCCCACCATTTTCTTCCCCCGGATCTCGAGGCTGACCTTGCAGTCCTATGGGATGATGGCCGAGTATCACATAACCGAATACGGTCGCCAAAAGATTCTCAAGGAGGTCATCATGAGAGCGCACAAGCTAGTGGCAGACATGCTTTGGTGCGCGATCCGAGCTCTCTTTCCAGTCACGATCGTAGACTTACGCCTGCTTTAGGAGAGATACCGTATCAACACCACTTGCTGTCAAATCACACATCGAGAACATCATGGCCCGCTTCCGGCCAAGTCGGCCGTCCAAATCCAAGGCAAAGCTGCTCCCCGCGAGGTCCATTACATCACTGAGGGAGACGGTTGAGGTACATCCGTACCTGGTCATGGGCCCGTCGGACTTGATCACCATGGTCAACTCCCTCTTCCCAGAGAAGCGGCCAGTCTCCAGCTCGCTCTCAAGAGATATAAGCTTTGGTAGTATACGCTCTTCGGCATCTTCCGTTTCGGGGATGTCTACCATCTTCCAGTCTAGCCCTATCACTGCTCCACGCAATGCTTTTGACAATGTCTCTGTCATTAGCAACAGCGGTTCCTCCGTGATCAGCGACTTTACGACGTCGCGTGAGCCTCTCCTAGAGGAGAACATCAAGAGTAGATCCGTCAATTACGAGGATGATGGCTTTGAATTACGTGTTGCGATCTATGAGATGACCCAGACCTTGGGTACCGAAGGAGTTTCTGGAGCTTGCCATCCTTGTGCCGAGCATTGGACCGTGCTTTTCATGTCCCCGGATGGCCAGTCGTTGTCTCACCAGCTGCCTCATGATCCTGATGAGGATGGCGACGAGGAAGAGTTCACGACGAGTAGCGACTCCGACGACGATACTATCGGCTCCCGGTCTGATCTAGATAAAGACTATCACCAGCTGCGCAACTCTGTGTTGAAGTTAGTAGAGGACTATGAGATTCCCCAGTCTCTGAACCCCACGGCCGAGTCGGAAACCTTCAGTAATAGGACATCCGCTTTGGAGAGTCCGAGGAAGAAGTACCTCAGCCGACCTGGGCTACCAGCCCACACACAGTCCAGGAATCCATACCGCATCCAAGATATCGCCACATTCAAAGACCCCAAGCCATCGTCGAAGTTGCGCCACGATTCTGATAGCGACAAGGACAAGGAAGCCCCTTCTGTGCTGATCACGATGCTAGAAGCGGCCGTAGCGCAATGCCAGGCACAGTCGGACTTTGTTAACGCGCATCTCTGGTGGAAGACGCTGAACCAGCTCCACCAGCTCTCATCTCCCTCCCTGAAACGGGACGGCTTCGCTTCGCTCCTGAGCATTTTTTCACGAGGTCCACGCGACTCGATCCGGCGCTCAACCAGTGCCGTCGAAGAGTATGACGCCTGGCTGGTGTGGCTGAAGCAATCTCAAGAGCGTCACGATGTGACCATCGAATCGATGATGAAGGGCTTGAAGGCGATTCGAGACAAGATGTGGTATGTCACTGATGTAAAGAACTCGGCCGCTTACGAGGGAGCACGGAATATTGCGATTGCCTTGAAGTGTATGGCGTCGCCAAAGAAAGCCACGCACCCTCCACCTGTGGGAACCCGACCCCGGAATATCTCCAAGACATCTACGAACAATTTTCTTCTGAAGACGGAGGCGCAGGTGATGCATATGATGGCCGCTAGCGACGACCAAGGCGGACCCAATAAGCTGTCTGATGAACAGTCGGAGAAGACGTCGCGCTGGTTGACTCAATTTGGCATCGAAAACTTCTGTAAGGGCGAGGAGCGGATCCACAGATTCTGCTTGGAGATTGGAGCTTGCATTAACAAGCTGGTTGGCGACAATCTTATGGAAGGCCCGGTGTTGTGGTCGAGCGAACTGTATTACCGCGACAAGCGACTGTTGGACAGCGGTCGACAGAAAGGCGACATGTTCCTCGGTAGTCTCGGGTCTCCCAATCCATCCGGAGATGACGATACAGATACAGGCCGCCGCGGACTCCGTAGCACAACAGACTTCAACCGCTCGGGTCCTGGCCTTCGAGATCTCCGGTCCATGTCCGCAAGGAACACCTCCCAGCAGAGCTTTGATTCTGGCAGGTACAGCATGCCAAGGATGAGCACTGCTGGGGACCTGATGGACTCCCAGGATTACTTTGGCGCTGCTAGTACGGTTCTGACATTTGATTCTACGACTACATTTTGGTCGCCTTTCCAAACCCGAGCGCAATCGCCAACGACGAGTATCAGCAGCCATCATCGCCCTGGTACCTCCTCGTCGTCGATGAACGAGACGGTAACGATGAGAGAGGAGCGCGCAAGCTTGGCGAAGCAGAGCTTTCTGTCGGACTTGAAGCAGACTCTTACCAGTCTCTTGATCAGCGATCTTGGGGCCCTTGTCTTTGCAAGGGGGAGCGAGACGGACTCTTGGTTCTCTGGACCGCTGGGCGAGGACTGTATGGAGAGAAAAGAGCGTGCCGAGCGGAAGGCCCGAAGGAAGATGCGAACGCGGACACTGGGAAAGAAGAAGAGTATGAGGGACCTGAGAAATGCTCAGAAAGCCGAGCCACCTTCCGAGAACCCCGACTATCTGAGTGCAAGAATGGAAAGAGGTGCCTCGTCAGCCGGTTCACGGTCTACAGAACACGGCCCGCCAGATGTCCCTTCTACCACCGAAAGCTCAACCAGCGATCAGAACGGGGTCAACGCCCGCAAAGCCGTGTCCAAAGAGCTAGACTCCCCTGACTTCCCCTACCGCAAAGCCTTCCAACGCCTCCTACGCATGTTCTCCGTGCACCCCAACCCCTACAGTAAGCTCAATGCCCTGTTCGAACTAGAACAACTCATCATCGCCTACCTCACCCCTTCGCCCCCCCGCCGTTCTCGCCTGCGTCAAGAGCCACTGACGGCAGCCCCCCAGTCCCCCTCCGTCACCCATATCAACGCCTTCGGGCACAGCGACACCAACACCGCCAATCCCCGCGCCAAAACTCTCGAGCAGGCGATCGACAACTGCAAGGAGCGTCGGTCGCACACACTGTCCCAACCAGACCCCATCCTGCGCTCCTCACCCGCCGCCGCAAATCCAGCCAGCACCGACATGATCGTCGACGTGCTGCAGGATCTATTCCGCGATGCCGAGATACGGCCCAAGACCCTATTCCGCGACCTGCAGTTCATAGCCTCCTTCGTGCCCGTCGAGGTGCTCGATAAAACGGAGCGCGGGAAGGCGTTCTGGGACGCCGGTCTGGCGGCGTTGGGATTGAAGCAAGATGTGTGCCGCACGATGATTGAGATTGCCGACGAGGTCGTCGTGCACTACACGTCCACCCGGGCCAACAAATCCTCCTCCTCGGCCGCCTCTGCGATTCCCGCCGAGCACACGACGGCGAGCGGCGAGCTGATGAAATACAGCATGCAAGAAGCGGCGCGGATGTGGACCATCACGGCGAAAGAAGGGGATCCCGTCGCGGAGCGGGAGCTGGCCATCTTCTACCTCACCCATCCGGAGCTGGTGGAGCGCGTCACGCTGCCGCTGAGCCGGCCCGGGGACACGTTCAAGAAGGGCGTGCTGGAAATGCACGGTGGTGGTGGGAAGGGAGGAGGAGGTGGGGGTGGAGGTGCTGGTGGGGGTGGAGGGGAGGGCGAGAGGGGTGATGGGAGGGTGATGTGTGTGGCGTTTCATTGGATGGAGGCGTCTGCGCTGGGGGGCGACGAGCTGGCGAAGAAGTATCTGAGGCAGAGGGAGGAGCTGAATGCTATCCCTTAGATTTTGGCTGAGTGGGAGTATTGCGTATGAGGACGAGGATGAAGGGGAGGAGGATGAGAGGAGGGAGTGGGCGGAGGAGGTGGAGGGGGAGGTGGAGTGATTTAAGGATACCCATTTTTGGTTTTGGTTTTGATGTTGATGTTGATGTTGATATTTATATTAGTAATATTAAGCATATGAGAGATACGATGACGAAATGGAACGATTATAAAAAAAATACAGGACCAGATCAGATAAAAGGGCAAGAGATAAAGGCGAAGAGATCAATCGATCGATAAATGGGGTAGGTAAGATTGGATGAGGTAGATTTCACTGAAGTTTGATACCGGCGGTACAGTAACTACTGAACCTATATCAAGTCAATCAATATCTGCAAATCCCACACGATTCATTCTGTATCCTTCATAATCCACTCTATACCCTTCTCCATATTAAAGCATGCTAGCATCTTTTGGTGGGTAGTCTCAACGCCTGTTTATTGTTTGTCGTTTGGTGGATTGTAGTTTGTGTAGAATAGCCCGGTTTGGTTTTGTCAAAAAGCGAAAAGGGGTGATTGAGTTACTGTACCTTTTTCATTTTGGATCATGTCTAGAATTATTGGTTTATAAGTAGGTATACAAACCCCGCTCCCCCCACCCCCCCTTTTTTTTCCCCGCCAGCTTTTGATAGGTTTCGGATGAATTTTGTATGGGTTGGAGTTTCATAGATTGGAGAGGGAGAGAGAGGTTTTATATACTGGGTGGCGCTAGGCTCAATGGATCTCTGGTCATTGTTTACTGGGGTATCTCGCTTCTTGTTGTTTGTTTATCCCTGGGCTCTCTTCTTAGGTATCAAGACGGATATTAGAAGGTGAAGAGATCCATGGACGATTGCTTGAGTGGGTTTATGGAGTTTCTAAGAGATCATGATCGTATGAATGTTACTTTCACTAGGAATGGATACGGCTAATTCGGAATCCGTTGCTGTATTCTTAATATTCGTAATAGTGCTAGCGGTAAGTCAATTGGAAAGGGAATCAATCGGTCGTTACTATAGTATATCGATGAATTCTGTTTGTTTATTCAATTTCATTTAGTTGAAGCATAGTTTCGAACTAGCGTATAAGCCTTGGTCAAGCATTTGCATTGTGACGATTGATCTTCAATGCGGACAGCCGTTAGTGACTCAGCCGGATGCGGTTACTCGTCTTGTTTCTTTTCATTCAATTATTAACCTCTGAATTCGATTCATAAAGCTTTAGATTTCAGTTCTGTGTGATTTGGGTAGTGAATAAGCTCTATAACCAAGTCTGAAGTACGTGTAGTTGGTATCTTAAGAAAACAAAGGCTGAGGCTAGACTAGCATTAAATGGGTGATTACTATTACCTAGCACACTCGTGTGCAGATAGCATCACCTTTCGAATTCATGAGCTGGTTACTTACAACTTCACACTCTGTTGGTGAATTTTTAACGACAACGTACGGCCACCCTCAACCCGACTGGTGAATTCTTCCACTAAAAGTCCTCCATTGGTTCTATATAAAGGCGCTTCCTCGTCCTCTCCTCCCTCCATCTTCTCTTCCCTCCATCCCTTCTTCTTTTCATCCTTCTACCTCTCGAATCCTCCAACACTATCTATCACTCTAGCCTTTATCATTTCATCTCTCCACCTTCATACAGCAGCATCAACAACAACATCCACTGCAGCTCTCACCACACAACTTCTCCCATCCAAAACCCAACAAACAGTACCACTCCGGCCTCTGTACACCCTCTTGCTACTCCTCTTCTCATCAGACTTAACCCTCAACCCTTCTTGCAAACCTATTTATCATCTACCCTGTCCGGACCGACCACAATCAGCAAACATCAGCAAGCCGACGCCTGCAGTTGGACTCGGTCACCTTCCTGCCCTTTCAAATTCGAGTACTCTTCCGTTCCTCACTCAGTCTTTTGAATACCTCACAACACACAGCAATCCATTCCTCTCGTAGACTTCCAAAACTTAAAATGGATCAATTCAACACCCCGGCTCACCTTACCTCTGTGTCGGGACGATTTGCAAACGCTACACCTATCGATCCCAACTCTCTGGGAACAAGCACAAACACATTGCCCGTCTCACCGTCCAGCAAGCAGACCAAGATCACGGAGAAGACCATCAACAAGAAGGCGGCAAGCAAAAAGACCAAAAAGATCAAGTCGGTGTTTGCGAGTTTGTATGATGATGCCAATGAGCAGAATCGGGAGCAAACAAAATCAACAGCGCCAATTTTCCAGATCTCGCCTGATGTCGAACAGGTTCATACTTCTTCAGATGTGGAGAGCCCGAATACACAAAAGAGTCCACGCCTGCCTGAGAACGCCGTCCCTGCGGACATTGCGAGTGCGTCTCCAGACGCAACAGAGGAAGTAGAATTGAAAATGGCAAATGTCACGCTCTCTCCACAGGAAGAGGCCAACACTGGGATTCGGACTGAATGGCTGGGCACCAGCCAGTTCTACGTGGATTCTCTGCTGGAGATGCAGAGAACTGTAAGTTTTTTCCCGCTCCCGAACCTCCCTCGGAGCCCTCTTTTCTCTATACTGACTCGCCATGACCTAGGGAGATCTCGACGGCATGATCAAGTACCGCGAGGCTCTGGTTCACGACCTTGGCCTGCTCTGCTACGACCCGGCCCGCTGGATTGAACTCGCTCAGGTGGACACCCGTCTCGGCTTCCTGGACATCGCTGCTGCAAACGCCCACCGAGCTCTACTCCTCGTCGAGGCTGCACTCCAACAGCCCATCTCAGAGCTTGGGATGCACGTGTACAACGCCCTGGCATTCCGACACCCTGGCTCCGACATCGAGAAACTACAGGAAGAGCTGTCGTACCTCCACCGCCAGGCGTACATCATGCTCCTGGTAGGTCTAGGCGGCACGGCTGCCTTCTGGGACGGGCTGGTTGAGGCCAAGAAGGCGCGAAAGCTTTACCCGGACGATACGGCGATTCTGGAGTTGCAGGACGATCTGAAGAGTGGCTTCCTCGACCGCTGCGAGCTGATGAAGGAGTCCGGTGTTGTTTTCAAGATCGACAATCGGGATCTGCTAGAGCGGACCCGGACGGGCAAGATCTTTCAGAAGAGGTATCCTTGGCTTGATGATAGCCTCTACCGACGCACACCGGGGACCTTAAGACTGGTCAACGAGCAGTTCCAGGATGCGTCTAGGGGCTCGTGCGAGATAAAGGCTGTTGCGTTTGGGGGTGCGAAGCCCAAGGTGGCGAGGGAGGGTGAGGACATGGGTCCTCTTGGGATATTTGCTACTCGGTTCGTTTTGTTTTGTTTTCTTTTTCTTTCTTTCTTTCTTTATTTCTTTCTTTCTTTCTTCTTCTTGTTCTTCTTATCTTTGTTTCAGATCTTTGTTTCGGTGATTTCCATAGACAGCAGCTGATTATTACAGACTTATTGAGAAAGGGGAGCTTGTCATTCTGGACAAGTCCATCACCGGGGTATCGAATGTGCCGTCGAGCAGCTTCAGGCACTGTGATGCCTGCCATGGAAGTCTCGCCAATCAGTACCTACGGCAGCCCCCGATCCCTTGCTCTTCATGCAGGAAAGCTATCTACTGCAGTCCCGAGTGCTACAAGACTGCAACAGAAGGCTACCACAAGGTACTCTGCGGACACGATCTCGACTGGGTCTACGAAACCCCCTCCCCAGCAAAGCCGGAGAAGAGGAAGGGTATCTATATAGGATCCCGCTGGAAGTCAGCCCTCTTCCTCCGCATCATCGCCATCATCCTCGCCGACCAGCAGTACAAAGGCCACCCCCTCCAACACCCCCTCATCGCGCGCGCCACCGCCAACTACCCCCCGCCAACCAAGGTGCCCACAGCCCAGGACATCAACTACGAGTGGCACTACTTCGAGAACGTCACCGCCCCGGCCAAGATGCTGCAGCAGCTCGGCGTCAACATCTTCCGCGACGCCGCCTGGACGCCCGAGGTCATCCAGACGATTCTCTGGCGCCTGGAGAACAACGCCGACATGGCAGCGACGACGCTCGCCGGCGCCACATGCCGTATGATGAACTTCAACACCCGCTTCCTCTTCCTGAACCACTCGTGCGAGCCCAACACGTCGTGGCACGGCGCGCCCCCCGACGGCGCCGTCGACATCCAGTGGCTCCAGGGCTACGGCGGCGAGGTCTTGCAGCCGGGGTGCAGCGCCGTGTGGTGCACGGCGGCCCGCGACATCCTGCCCGGCGAGGAGCTCAAGATCTCGTACATCGGTGACCCCCTGGGCGAGGCGGGCACTAGCGAGGATGTCGAGGGGGGGAGGCCTGGCAAGCGCGCCTGGTTGGATAAGTGGTTTGATCGAGGCTGTGGGTGTCGCGTGTGCGAGGCGGAGAATGTTAATGAAGAGCGGATCGCGGAGGAGATGAGAGGGCTGGAGGAGATACTCGGGCTTGGTGGCGACCAGATGGTTGTCTGAGGGGTGTTTTTGGCGAGAGAGTAAGAGGGGATGGGCTCTGCGCGCTGGGATTTCTGCGCTGGGTTTTTTCCCCATCCTTTTTTTTCTTCTTCCTGTTTTTCAGCGTCTCTCAATATTTATTATCCGGGGTCTGGGGAAGAAAGGGGGGTTTAGATACCACACCGGGGCAGATGCACTCGGCACGCATTGGATTTATACTCGCAGTCCGCATTCCGCATTGGTATCAATCGGTATTGGATCTCGGCCCGGGGACAAAGCATAGCAGCGATTGGAATTCTCTGAGTTCAAGAGACTGGTTATTGGATGATGACGATGGTGGGCAAGAAGGGAGTTCGGTGGGCGGTAGCTAGGTGTCTTCACTTCTCGCCGCCGCGATGGAGATTTAAATTGAGTTTAAATATCACATTACCTCATCATCCATCAAGCCATTCATCCATTCATGTCTAGATTCCACACTCTTCACATTTAATCGTCAAATTCTCCCACCCCCCCCTAAAAAAGCCATATCCCTATTCAAAAAGGCCCCAAGATCGTTGTTGACTACCACTGTGACAATGACCGAGTTTCTCGCTTAAAACATGGCACGTGATAAAATATTTCGGAGGGAAAAACTCGGCTCTACGGCTCCCCAAGATCACTCACTCACATCTTATTTGCCTTTCTCAAAGTAGTTACTTTTCCGAATTCACGGCGCTAAAGTAAATACCTGCTCCATCATGAAGGAAACGAAAATGAATAAATTGAAGACGGGAGCTACCAGACGCTCGCTACATTAACAACAGACGTGGGAACATGCCCCCCCCCCCCAAAAAAAAACATTTTCAAGGAAAAACCTCCGCTCAACTCCAGATCAAAATAAAATGAAAAGGAATAAGATAACCAAGACCTGTCTCCTCACGCACTCCCCTTGATCTCAGGTCGACCAACCCACGCATCATCGCCCTCCGCGTGATAGAGGATATCGCCCGTCGCCGCGTCGCGCTCCTCCTCAACGACATCATCATGTTCCTAATCTTCCTCCTCCTCCCCGTCCTGCCCCTGATCGGCCATACCGTACTGATCAACCGTCTTGGGCAGCGGAGGCAGCTGGCCCACCCGCTCCTGGCACGCCGCGAACCTGTCGCAGTGCTCAGCCGTGAAGCCTTCCTCCCCGTCGGCAACCTCGAGGAAGTGCATGCATTCGGGCGCGCCGAAGTCGCTCCAGAAGGAGTCTGGGTCGATTTCGGACTCGTTGGGCTGGTTCTCGGGGAAGTCTCGTGTTTGGATGGCGTTCGTAATCGAGTCGGGTTTGCCATCGCGGTTGTTGTTGTTGGTGTTGTGGGTGTTGTCGTTGTCTTTGTTGTCGTTGTCGTTGTTGTTGTTGTATTTGTACATGCTTCGAGCCAAGATGGACGGCTTTACTTGGCCGAATTCAAATGCGGCCGGACGGGGGAGCTCCGGAAGGGTGCCAGACGGGAGTTGCTGGTGATACTTCTGGACCATAAACCTCATGAGGATTTCAATTATGTCCACCTGCTTGAGGTAGTTGTCGCAATCCGCCTTCGATAGCCCAGTGATGACCTTGATCATGTCCCGGGTAGCACTCACCGCTCGGCGGCCAGTTGTCTTGTCAAGCATGCTCTTTCTAGCGAGCGTCTCTATTTTGGACTCTAAAGCCACAACGAGGTAGTAGGCATGCAAACTGCCCAGGTCATTTTGAATCTGATTTTCCGTCAGGGTGGATTTGGGAGGCGGTGGATGAGTCTCGATCTCGGCAGCGATCCTTTGCTGAACATCTTGAAGCATTGGGCCAAAGTCCGGGGCGTCTTGAAGGAAGTTGCGCCTGATGGTCGCGACGACGACTTCGGCCTGGATGTCAATCTTGCGATTTGCCTCGTCCATGGTCAGGCCTTTGTTTCTGTTCAGGTAGACGAGCTTGTCGTAGAGCTCCAACATGCTCATTCTGAGGTCGATGTTGCTGCCCACCTTGTACGCCTCGACCTGCTCTGGTGTGAAGAGAGTATTTCTTCGAGCCAGGGATTGGTTGGCGTCAGTCTGATTTTCCTGGGCGTCCGTGTCGACGATGGTAGGGAAGTTTTCGACGTTGTCGGGATGGCTGTCGAAAGGGAGGCCAGTGGACGTAGTTTCGGGGCCACCGAGGTCGGAATCTTTCTCGTAGCCTTGCTCCAAGGCTGCCTTCCACGCCTTCCACGCCTGCTCCTCGTCATCGAAAGACTGATTGTTATCCGGAACGGGCTCAAGCAGGCCATTAGGAGAAACGGCAAGGGGAATTGGTCCCAGCTGCTCGTCCTTGGATGGCTCGATGTCCCGGCGATGTGGCCCGAATTCCTCCGGGACGCCGATATTCAAGAGGTCGTGGTCAAAGGAGGCCTGCCCGTTCTTTGTAGGAAGTTGGACAGGCGCTGCAACAGCAGTGTAGGCCAACATGGCAGCGGCAATGGAGGGGGTGAACCGCATCGTGCTTGGTGAACGAAAGTATAAAGTTTTGGTTGTACGTTGCAGGTGAAGGGAAGTATAAAATGTTATTAGGAGGTTGGAGGTGAACGAGAGTCCAGATTTATGTTGATGCGAAGTTGGAGGGAGAGTACGAATATTTATGAGAGCAGAAAAGAAAAAGACTTTGTGGGAGAGGCTAGTAATAGAAAGCGATGGAAACCAGAACTATTCTCTCGCTTAGAATCGTCTGTTAAATGGTAGAGAAGATGAATTTCTCCGGATGACACAGGTTTGGCTTCGTGCTATTGACTCGCTACCGTTAGCCATAGCCGGATTCCTGACGGCTCGCACGCGTTCTCAAGCATCTCCATAGACTGACCTATAGAAGGTACAAATGAGGACTAGCATGAGGTCTGCTTGTTCATCGCTCTTCTCTGGTACCCACATAGTCTACCAAAGTCATGCTCACGTGGAAGGATTTGGCTTGGTTGATACATACTGATATACAATTTTTACACCACTCCACCCGTCTATAGCAGACCTTGCTTCTGCAAGTCGTAGTATACCTTTTCGGGCATCACGTTACCCTCTGCATCCTCCATCTGAACCACGCTGCCCTCATCTCTCTTGCCCTTTTGCTTGTCCCTCGTGATCTTGTCCCAGAGTTTGACGGCATCGGCAATTTCGGTAATCTCTCGGAACAAGCTCGTGTTCGTGATCCCTAAGCACTTCAATCCGTAGATATGTCGGGTCTCGTTGAAATGCTTGTCGAACGCTCTTCGGCCCATGTAAACGTAGTTGCCACAGATCTCGCATCTGAACTCAACGCCAAGACCGTGCAGCTTGTACAGCCAGAACGGAATCGGCTTTCCATCCCAGGCCAGTGGAAGCTTCAGGGGGTTGTAGATCTTCTCGTCGCCGTCAGACTCACTGTCAGAATCGCCACCTTGAGGGGCCACAGAAGACGATTCCGCAAAGAGTGCATCCAACTCCATCTGTCGCTCTCGTTCGGTCATGCCCTGTTTCCGCTCGACGTTAACCCGCGTATCGCTTCGTTCTTGCGACATTGCGGCTGCCAGCCGCTTGACTCGGTACTCCCGCTCCGCAATCGCGCGTTCTTTGAGCCGCAGAGAGCTGGTGCCCTTCTTAGCTGTCCCCTTCTCGGCATCACCCCCAGACTCGGCTTGCAGAGCTGCCCTGGCCTCGGCTGCCCGAATGTGCTTTTTCCCTGTCAAATGGGCCTTGAAAACATTGTCATTCTTGAAGTCCTTCGCGCAGTCTGCGCAGTAGAGCTCATCTGTGGGTCCTTTAGAAGGTCCAACGGGCTCTGGTCTCCAAGCGGGGATATCATCGTCGTTCCAAGCCTTGTCAAAGTCAAGATCGAAGCTCTCAAACAGCTTCGGCAGATCCTCTAGTGGTCTTGTCCGTCGCATGAAGCTCTCGAGATATGAAGCTAAGTCACCAACATACGTGAAATACCTATCGGTCATCTTGTCGGCGCGTTTCACAGAGCATGATGGGGGTACGAATATATCGAAGGCGTCCAGGTACTGAAGGTAGGTGACTCGTTTAATGTTGGGTAGGTTGAGGTATGTCTCGTGGATGGTGGTAAGATCCAGATATTTGCCAAATGCTTCTTCTCCGGTGAACAGGTTATCGATATCATACGTTAGTGCCTCGCCTTCTCCAGTCGCCTTCTTCTTGTACGCCCGCTCCAGGTTCTCTACTGGCTCATTTGGGTACCGTTGATGGAACGACTTAATCTCAGAGAGCTGCTTGTAAAATTCCTCCAGAGGCTCCCCAGTGGATATGGACTGGATCTCTTTCGTTCGCGCACCGTCCGCATCTTTGTAGATCTCGAGGAGTCGTTTCGATTGGTCTTGAATGCGATCGAGGAAGCCTGCGACCTGATGATCTCTGCTCAGGCGCTCACGAATCTTGGAATGGCTCTTAGTATCTTTCCAGCGTCCAGAATGTTGTGGAGACCTACATGTCGTGGCTCTTCAGCAACGCGGTCACTGATGCCCTGCTCCAGCCTCTCCAGGTCCTCATGAAGGAATCTCTGCTCCTCCAAAATCATCTTGTATCCTTCTCGTGGACACTTTCAGTGATTGCCCAAAGATCTGATCCGGGAGTTCAAAAGCGTTGCCAATGGGCGTAAGCTGAATTTGCCTGAGACAGTAAAGTTGTAGATATTTGTTATATACGACCTTACCTTGGGGTTTTGCGCCAGCCAATCGTAAGCCCGCGTCTCGCGTCTGACGCTTAAATAACGCTAACAAATTAAGGTTTGGCGCGCAGAACATTTCCATATGCTTTCTCCTAGTCAACTTTCACGACTATTCCTCCACCTCCACCACGACCAAGGTATTGTCGGTGAATTCAAGTCCAATACCTTTTTCCACCCCTTATTGTGCCCATCCTTCTCGGTCGACAGTCTAGTTCAAGAAGCTTACTGTCTACAACCTCATCTGCCTCGGCGCAAGCTTTCGTACAGAGCTTCGTTCCCCCCAGGCTCAACCCCACAACCACAACCATGGCGGACGGTATCGATCGCAAGGCGGAGGAGCGCATGGAGTTCACTACGTCCGCTGACGTATCAGTGGCGCCGACATTTCAATCAAGTAGGAATTAAAATGAAGTCGGTTTCAAATATGCTGACTTGTGTGAACAGTGCATCTCAAGGAGAACCTTCTTCGAGGCATCTACGCCTACGGATACGAGTCCCCCTCGGCTGTTCAGTCTCGCGCAATTGTCCAGATCTGTAAGGGTCGCGACACCATTGCCCAGGCGCAATCGGGTACGGGTAAAACAGCTACCTTCTCGATCAGTATGCTTCAGGTCATCGACACGGCCGTCCGCGAGACTCAAGCCCTCGTCCTGTCTCCCACTCGAGAACTTGCGACACAGATTCAGTCGGTTGTTATGGCTCTGGGAGACTATATGAATGTACAATGCCACGCTTGCATCGGAGGCACCAATGTTGGGGAGGATATCCGCAAGCTTGATTATGGACAGCATATTGTTTCTGGGACCCCAGGACGAGTGGCTGACATGATTCGCCGACGAAACCTTCGAACTCGCCATATCAAAATGCTGGTTCTTGACGAGGCTGACGAGCTGTTGAACCGCGGTTTCAGAGAGCAAATCTATGACGTTTACAGATACCTCCCTCCTGCGACCCAGGTTGTGGTTGTTTCTGCTACTCTCCCTTACGATGTGCTCGACATGACCACCAAATTCATGACGGATCCCGTTCGTATCCTAGTCAAGCGTGATGAATTGACTTTGGAAGGCCTCAAGCAATACTTTATCGCAGTCGAGAAGGAGGATTGGAAGTTCGATACCCTGTGCGATCTCTACGATACCCTCACTATTACACAGGCGGTTATCTTCTGCAACACGCGCAGAAAGGTCGATTGGTTGACGGATAAGATGCGCGAGGCCAACTTCACGGTTTCCTCGATGCACGGGGAGATGCCACAGAAGGAGAGAGACAGCATCATGCAGGATTTCCGCCAGGGAAACTCGCGGGTTCTGATCTCTACGGATGTCTGGGCTCGTGGTATCGACGTCCAGCAGGTCTCGTTGGTCATCAACTACGACTTGCCTAGCAACCGTGAGAACTACATCCACAGAATCGGTCGCAGTGGTAGATTCGGACGCAAAGGTGTGGCGATCAATTTTGTGACTAGCGAAGACGTCAGAATATTGAGAGATATCGAGTGTAAGTTTGATCGTTCCAGTATAAAGCTTCTCTAATCAGAAATAGTATACTACTCGACTCAAATCGATGAGATGCCGATGAACGTTGCGGATCTTCTGACATAGAAGTTTCACGGGCGAATTACACTGGGATAGATATATTTCCTAGGTTAGAGGCTGCATGCATTGGCATGTCCAGTGACTGGTTACGTGGGAGGAAAGGGCATCTTGTACAAAAGTAAAGCTTCCTCCGCAAATCTCCTCTGTCTTTGAGACACAATGCTGACATGGGGGATATGAAGATACGAATGCGAAATTTTCAAATTGAACCATGGATGTGCTCATCTGAATGCAGTAACGACGGATGCGTTCTGCGCAACAACTTAAAATCGATGCCCGGCGAGATCAAGTTCATTCCGCCGGCCGCTGATTGTGTGACGGGTGCTGTTTCTTCCCTCTCTTTCCCCCACCGTTGCCCGCGTCAGCGCTGGCAGAGATGGATGTTTGATAGTGCCAACTTCGGAAACCCACCAAGTACACGGTCGCCGACTTCATATGCTCTTGAATCTTGAATACATGCGTTGGAGCTCTAGCAGGATGGTGAGAGCTCAATGATCAAACTCGTGCCATAAGTTTTTTATTTATCGCATTCACTAACTAGCTGCTCTGCATAAAGGGTCAGGCAAGTGGGTCTGAAAGAGAAGCAAGCCCTGTCTTGATTGATTTATATATACGAAGTAATCCTTGTACTGGAAACCATAATAATTGGATTTCAGTTGTGTTTAAGGGAGCTAGCTTGTTTGCATCGGTAATCGATTTCAGATGGTAGGATAGTTGGGTACAATTATGCCTTGATCATGGGATTGTGCAGTGGGATAATTGACATGCTAGTACAGAGGGGAAGAATGAGAGAGATGGACTTTATAATGCTTTGGCCTGTACAATCTCCGGCTCAGAAAGAGTTATTTTTTCTAAAGAGTAATCTACTCGAGTCTATTTTCGCTTAGCAATTGTCACGATACTGCAGGTAGTCTACAATAGCCGGAAGAATATATTTATATACAGATTAGACACTGGCTATTTGGATTAGAAAGAAGCATCAGAAGATTGTTCAGATATATGAACAAGTCTCTTTTTCTTTTTCTTTTTTTCTTTTTTTTGAAATGCCAATTAGGCTGAATCTCGCTTCCGAGAAGACACTACAGAACAACCACCTACCTCAAGCCTCTCTTATTCTTCACTACTCCATATCTCTCATTGCATTGCCAGATAACCAGAAACCAACACAACCGCCGTCCCGAGAGTCGTTCAACTCGTTCGACTCATCTCGCCTTGATAAAGTGCTGTGAGACAAAAATGCGCCACAAATTATCGTTTCGCATTCAGGCGTGTAACCGACGGGATCCGCAATCTATTTCACGACAACCGAGGGGTGGTTAACCTTCTCTCGACAACAACAACAACTATCTCATGGCCCCGACAATTGCAAACGGACGGAGATGGTGCCGCGCATAATAATCCAGAGACCATCGATCAGCTCTGATGATCTCGGTTCTCATTGGGAGTACGCGTCGAGGGATGAGCGGGAGGACGCGGCGGACGCGAGATCCGTCGGTGCCCAGCATGGCGAGATGAGGCGACGCAGTCAGGACAGCACGTTTGACGTTGACGGCGAACAGCTGTGGCGCGCGAGAATGAGTATCGATGCCGAGATGGAGCTGGCGAGAGGCCAGAGGATGAAGTGGTGGAAGGTGTACGCGATGCATTTCCTGTTCATGTGGAATACGAGGACGTACGAGTATGTTTCGGTACGTCCGCTTCTTCTCCCGTTGGAGAAGAAAAGAAAAGAAAGAAAGCGGGTTCGGTTCTGACGAGGCTCTAGATATTTCTCGTCGCCCTCGCCTTTCCCGGGAGCCTCACGGCGACATCTATCAGGTTCGTGTTGAGACTCGAGAAGCCAGGTGGGAGGTAGTCACGTGCTGAAATGAAGTGAATAGGGGTATGGCTTCTACCGTCTCGACCATGATCTTTGCTTCGGCAGTGGGCAATTGGATCGACAAGTCCCCCTCCAGACTACCGAATTTGCTCACCACGATCGGCTTGAACCACGTTGTCATTGTGGCCTCCTACATCTGTTGGCTCTTTTGGCCGGTCGTTGCTGGCCGTGGCGATGAGGCTGGTGGGCCATCTGCAGGCCCCTTCTCCAATCTCGCAAAGGGCCTTCTGTATACCTTCATATTACTACTGGACGTCGTACATGATCTGACTGCCATCGCAAACCATCTATCTGTGGAAAGAGACTGGGTTCCCGTGCTGGTAGGACCAGGTAGGTTATGAGAGTCTTCAGCAGGCTCAACAGGCTCAGCAGGCTGCAGAGGAACCTCGAGCTAACACCTAAAACCTTGTGAAAGTCACTCCAGATACGAAATACACTCTCACCGAGGTCAACGCAGTCATGGTGCGATTGGAGCTGGTCTGTAAACTGATTGCACCCTCGATGCTCCCCGTAATCGTAAAGTCCTTCCACTCCCAGACCGGATGGATCTTGCTCTTGACGGGGCTTACAGTCTTCCTGTGGGCGGTGGAGGTCCAATGCGCACGCATGATATCGAGGGAGAACCCAGAGTTGCAGGTACCGAAGAAGCTGTCAAACGATTTCGCCACGGGTGACTTGTTTGGGATCCAGAAGCCCGGGGTCACCACCGTCGCCCAAAAGCTCTATGCCGTCCTGTATCACGATCCAGCGGTCCGCCTCAGACATTACTTCTCGATTTCTATCTGGCCGGCATCGATATCGATGGCGCTGCTGCAGCTCACCGTCCTGGCCTACTCGTCGACTCTCATCACTTACTTGTTCGGCATCGGCTTCTCGCTTGTGGCCATCACCCTTGCGCAAGCGTCCGGGTCCATCGTCTCACTGTCGAGTACGGTCATTACCCCTTTCGCCGTCAAGTTCCTGCGGAGACGATACGCCCGCGCTGCCCGATCGGACGACGACGAAGCCGAAGACGAGGAAAATGGAGAAGGCAAAATTGCCAGACGAGTCGGATTCTGGGGTATCGCCTCGCAGTTCCTGTGCTTGGTAAGATCTCCATTGTCATTACTATTGCCCAAACACATCTCGTGACTGGAACATGCAACTTCGCTCAAATTCGACCTAATTAACATCTGATAGATTCCCGTGGCACTCGTCCTATGGAGTCTCTCACCCCCACAACCGTCACTCGCAACGACGACGACGACAACCACCACCACCACCACCACAACCACCTCCTCCTCACCACCTGTCCCCCTCTCCCTCTCCCTCTCCCTCCTCCTCTTCCTCTCCCTCTCCCTCTCCCGCCTCGGCCACCACGCCTGCCAACTCATGGTCCAACAGCTCGGCCAGGTCGAGATCCCCATGTCGCAGCGCTCCACCTTCGCCGGGACCGAGACCTCCTTCAAGGCCCTAGGCTCCTTAGGCCACTATGCTGCCACGGCCGTGTGGAGCTCGAGCCGCCCTGAGGACTTTCGCTGGCTGGCTCTCGGTAGCGTGCTGGTTATTGGGGCGGCGACGGGGCTCTTTGGGAGTTGGGCTCGGAGGAGACCGATTGTGAGTGGTATGAGTGGGGGGAGTGGGAGGGAGAGAGGGCAGCGCTATGAGGGTGTTGCTATGGAGGATGTTGATGGCGGTGGCGGAGGGTATGGCGGTGGTGGTGGGGATGGTTATGGTGAGTACCACCACCGGGGTTGAAGTATCCGTAAGTCAAATCAAAAGAAAAGTCGCACAGTCACACACATAGGCCGGCCGGTGTGTATTTAAAATATAAAATATATATATCACTCATTTCCCTCCGAGGCCACACTTCTTCTCTTCTCTTCCCTTCTCTTCTCCACGTACAGTACTGACGATGTTTGTAATGCACAAACCCCTTTCTCGCACAAAAGCTAAGGGTCAACACTTCTTGAAAAAAAAAAAAAAAGAAAAAAAAAAAAAAAGAAGAGAAAAGAAAAGAAAAGAACTTTTTTTCAGCCGTCAATCTATCTTCGGGGAAGTAATTAATTAAAATCGTCAAGCCAAAATCTGCTTGTTTAATGCACCTAATCGTCGGTTATCTTAAATTGAATCTGTAAAAAATCCCGACCTGGCGCAGCAAGTCGGTCAATTCTTTCGAATTAAAATGTAAGGAAACTGACGATTATTATTGAAAAAATAAAATATATATATATATATATATTGAAAAAAAGACCGTATCACTCACTATAGAGAGAGTACTAGGAACCGCAAACCTTTGCTCCTGAATGTGTACTCCGACCAAGGGTACGATGTTACTGCACACTTTCCGTTCCTGTTCACATTTCAAGAGAAGAAAAAAAAAAGATATATATAAACCAGTCCAAAAGGTCTTAATTAAATCATAACTACGTGTATGTCTTAAACGTATGTCCTAAACCACGACTATATATATGTATAGATATGATACACAAAAGAAAAGTTATCTAAAGGACTTGGGCCTCCTTCCTCTCATCTATACGTCTGTCTGCCATCCATCTGCTATATGATCGATGTACTCTATACATACATACACACACACACACACACAATATACAAGCGAACAAGCGCGCTATGCAATCTAGCTGGAGTCCCCGAGTAGAAAAAATTAAAAAAGTATATATCCATCTCTTCATCATGCGCAGCGGGTGGGTATCGTCGCACGACCAAGGCCCGTTTAATTCTTCGTCAAACAAACACTGCACTCTGCTGGGCCTGCGATTTCCCGGGTCCGTCTGGCCAGTACCTACTCCTTCTTCGCCTTGGTCTTCTTCGGGACGCGCACCAGCCAGTAGAGGAGCACGGCTCCGCAACAGTTGAAGACGACGTAGACCCACATCAGCCCAAAGTTCCTCCACCGGTTCCCATAGTCGAGATCCAGCGCCGAGAGGAACTGATTGGTCGAGTCGAGCGAGCAGTACGAGCACTCGCCCGTAGCGTTCGGGTCTAACAGGCTACCGCCTTTGTCTTGCGTCACGATGTAGTCGTTCATGTATTCGGCGCAGGTCTGGCCGGCTCTGGCGGTGAATTTGCGCAGTTCGGCGGCGGAGCACTCGACCACGTTGTTCGCGATGCCGACGGACAGCATACCGTCTACGAGGTATGTGAAGGGCGAGACGCGGTACATGAAGATCCAGAACCTGGGGAAGACGTCGGGGGAGGCGAGAACACCACAGAAGACTAGGGTGAGTGAGAACGCGAGATTGGCAATGTTACCTCCGACCTCGGCCGAGTCGACGGCGGCGATGACCATGGTCGCAAAGGTCGAGGTGAAGAGCAGGAAGACCCAGAGGAAGAGGAACATGAGGAGGCCGCGCTCCCCAGTAGCATCGGTGGGTGAGGCGTTCTTGTAGAGACCGGCGGGGTAGTACCAGCAGAAAAACATGAGAATGGACATGAGGGTGTTCCAGGGAAGCTCGACGACGATGCTCGAGACCATGAAGGCTGCCCAGGAATATGTTTTGGACGGGCGCTCGCGCACCTCGTAAAGGGCACGCTGAGTTACGAAGTGAGGCATAATTTGCTGGACGATGTTGCCGAAGATTGTGAAGATCATGAAGATGGCGAACATCTGATTCTGCAACTCTTGTTGCGAGGTGCCGGAGTCGAAGAACGAGAAACCAATAAATGCCGCGGACGCAACGCAGAGACTCGTTTTGGAGAAGATGTAGTTGGGGGTCCGCCAATATTGTTGGAAGACACGCTTCAGCACCTCGTATTGCTGGACCATCATCGGGGCGGCAAATTCGCGATAGGAAGCCTTGTCACCAGAAGAGGGCGGCGGGGTGGTCTTGGGGAGCTCATCGGCAAGACGGGCCAGTTCTTGCTTGACGGATTGAAATTCGGGAGAGCCGCGCCATGCTTCGTGCCAATCAACGTCCGAGTGGGTGCCCGGGGCTGCTCCGATGACTTCGAGCATCCATTCAGCGGGGTTAGCAGTAGGGGGGCAGGTCATTCCGGAGAATCTCTCAAAGTACTTGATCAGAATGTGAGATCCCTCTCCAACTTCACCAAAGTAAACGGTACGTCCTCCCTTGGCGAGGAACAAAAGACGGTCGAAACGTTGGAACAGCATGGCGGAAGGTTGGTGAATCTAGGAATCCGTCAGCCGCTGTCTTTGTCATTATATCCAAAGGACAAACTTACGGTACAGAGGATCGCCTGGCCGTTCTTGGTGAGTTTCTCCATCAGGTCACAGATCGCCCAGGATGTCTGAGAGTCAAGACCAGACGTGGGTTCGTCCAAGAAGAGTAGAAGTTCGGGCTTGGCTGCCAACTCGACTCCGATCGTCAAGCGCTTACGTTGTTCGACATTGAGGCCTATCTTGGTGAGTTTGGTCCCATCAATTCTGCTTCAAGTGACAACTAACCTTCTCCAGGTACACCCACGATTGCATCGGCATATTCTTCCATGTCGAGAAGTTTGATGACCTCGTCAACATAATCAATCTTCTCCTGGCGGGGAGTTGCGGCAGGCTGTCTGAGAAGAGCTGAAAAGGTAAGAGCTTCGCTTTAGGAATGTCAGCCATTGCATGTTACAGGAAGGGTTCTCGGCAGACGACAAAAGTATCTCCGGTTAATCTGACTTCAATCGGAAGGTGGAGGCAATGAACTTACCGAACGGTCGTGGTGGAGAGATGGAGATCTTGCTGTTGCACGTATCCAGTCTTGCGTTGGAAGGAGTCATCGCGAGGGCGTCCGTCGACAAGCATGTTGCCGGTGATAACACCCATCGTCGTTCGCGTGGCCAGGACATCGAGAAGAGTGGTTTTCCCAGCTCCCGACACGCCCATGAGGGCAGTCAGGGTTCCGGGCTTAACCCATCCGTCAACATGATCCAGGATCCGGCGGGGTTCTCCCTTGATCTTAATGTCGTAGCAGACGTCCTCCCACGAGAAGATGGCGGTTTGCTTCTTGATGATCGTGCCGACGTCTAGATTTGTAGATGTCTTCCCCACTGGCACGCCTGCATTGTTTCCACCCTCGATATCGCCGGCCCTAGTCTTGAGCTGGGCGGGGGTGCGGCCCCGGCGGAAAAGTAACACCTCACCCTTGGATTTCTTGGAAGTGATGTACTCGCAGGCGATGATGTAGGTCGCACAGAAGAAAAATAGGAATGGAAACATGATGCCGACGTTCCGCCACTTGTTCGACTCCTTGTAGGTGTAAGCTGTCAAGATATGCTGGGCGCCTTCAACGTAGTTTTGGCCTGCCACGGCTCCCACGACCGAGCAGATTTGTTCCGTGGGCAGAACGTCTTCGTAGCCTGCGCCGCTGGGAATGAAGGAGGCCGGGAGACAGGTGTAATTCTTTCCCGCGAACTCGTTCACCATCAGCGACTCAAATGCATAAGCAACCGGGTCGATGTAGTTGAGCCATCTCGCCCAGCCTAGCATGTTTGGCACGGGGAGGGCAAAGCCGGTATAGATGACGATAGCCAGGATGAGAACCGCAGCCGGCGCTAGGGCCTGAGACAAGGTACGGGAGACGGATGCAATGGTGCGGAACAACATAGACATGACTAAGGTCAGCAAAAACGAGACCAGGAGGAAGAAGAAGAAGTTCCCAGCCTGCCGGTTCAGGTTGGACATGAAGTAGAGCGTCACGTTAAAGAGGATAGCATTCAGTATCTTGTAAGGCATATCGGTCAACATAGACGCGATCGCTTCACACGAAGGGTGGTACAGGGCATATCGGGCATGCTTCTCGACGATTGGACGTTGGGCGTACAGGGTGAGAATCTATTCGTTGTCAGCAAGCGCCTACCCGAGGCACACTTCTGTACGGCAACCTACCTCGAGAGCACTACTGAAGGCGGACATCAAAATGGCGAAGAAAATGAGGGCGCTTCGGGAGAAGAAGGAGTCGGCGGTCGAGGGCAAATCGTAGAAGACACTGGCGATGATCAGGGCCATGGAGGAGTTCCCGCCGAGTTGAGTCAGCGTCAGACTCGGGTCTCCTATCAATCTCCAGATGCCCCGACGGAGGCAGAGCTTAACCTGTCCAATATACGACATGGTGTAGGGACTGGACACATGTTGGTGCTTAGACTGCTGTACTCGGCGGGAGTCTTGAAACTCCTGTAGATGCTGACCGCCGGGCTGGTATTTCTGGTTGTAGGCATCAATGTCGACCACGAGGGCCGCGCGCTCGGGGCTGTTCTTCCAGACGAGAGCAAATTCATCAGCCGTACGGGGCACGCGGTCCTCGAAGCCCGGACGCACCACCCGTTCTAGGTGACTGGTCATGGAAGTCAAGAAGTCGGCGGTGGTCTGCTGGGCGGGGCACTCGAAGCCCATGTTCTCAAAGTAGGCTCGCGCCTCGGTACACGGGCCGAAGAAAATCTGTCTGCCCTCGTACAGAACCAGAACCTTATCGAACAGGTCGTAGGCACTCTGGGGCGATTGGTAGATGGCTACGCAGCAGGTCGCTCCCATCAGGTCGGTACTCATCTTCAGGGTCTTGACGAATTCGATGGCGTTAGCACTGTCCAATCCTCGCGTGCTGTTGTCCCAGCATTGGAGAGGGGAGCCGCTGAGGCAGGCTTCCGCAATGGTGGTCCGCTTCCGCTCTCCACCACTGACACCTCGGATGAAATCGTTTCCGACGTAGGTGTTGATGGTGTGGCTGATACCAAAACTCGCCATCATCACGTCTCTCTGGTACCGAGCAAACTCATCCCGGGTGATGCCGCCCGGAATATGGCGTGGTGTTCGCGCCATGGCCGCGAACTCCAGCGTCTGACCGACTGTCAGCATGGGGAAGTGCACATCGACCTCGGCCGTGTAAATGGCCTCGCCTCGAAAGTCCCGGTGCATCTGTTCGGGGGAGATGCCCTGGTAGTTAATCCGCGACTCTTTGTCGATGAAGAAGCCGTTGGTCTCTCCGGCGACAGTCTTCAGAAATGTTGAGCACCCACTACAGCACATTCATTGATTAGTTTCATCCTTGACGAGCATGTAAACAGAGCCTGCGGGCAGACGACAAATCTTACCTGCCGGGAGGACCAAGTACGACCAGCATCTCACCACTATGGACGACGCCATCCAGGTTTTGCAGGATGTCAATCCGGCGGGGCTTCTCTTTGCCGAGCAACTTCCTGATAAGGCCCGGGATTTCGAAAATGTAGTTGCCGACCGTTTTCTGATAGTCAGTGGCGGAGCCGAATCCGTAGACGTTCAGATCCTTGAAAGCAAATCCCGCGGTCCGAGCCTTCCATTTCTCGGGGTCGCGGGATTGCAGATGGAGGAGCGATTTGGCAAAGGCGCGAGGGCTGAAGTTGGGCGATTGCGGGTTGAGCCTGGAATCTTCGGAAGACTGGAAGGGGTTCTCCTGGGAGGTGCTTTGATGCGACTGCTGGGTGAATTTGCGGGCCAGGGCGTGAACCTCCTGATCCCGTCTCCGGCGCTCTCGCTCATCCAGGCTTCCGGATCGGGTGATGGTGGTGCCCTCGCTGTCGGCGGTCTGACGTCGCCGCTTCTCGGGGTCGAATTCCTCGAGTTCGTGCGACGACGAGTTGTCGGACGCAGGCTCGATGTAGGGCGCTTGGGGGTTGTTCACGCCGCCGATGCCCTGGGTCGCCGCGGTCCGGTCGCCATTGGAGACGAAGTTGCCTGATCGTGCGCGTCGGCGTCAGTACGGAGGGAGAGGGGAGATGGGAGATGGCAAACGGGAGATGGGAGATAGATGGATAGAGGATGGACAGAGGATGGACAGATAGAGAGGAGGATTCTAGATAGGTGGAGGCATAGATGGGTAGAGAGACAGAAGGACTCGGGCTTATTCCGGCTAAACTTACCGACGATGGACATCGTGGCGGAGAGGGAGGAGGGAACTGCGATGAGGATGAGGCCGAGGACGAGGAGGCAATGGATCCAGCAGCCAGGTCACGCGAGATGTTGAGAAGGTCGAGATGGTCGGAATGGTCAAATTCTTCGAAATGGGCCTGTTGCAGAGGGGCAGGCCGCATTATAAGTGATCGGCCACTTTCTGACCATACATAAGGATATCCTTATCCTCTCCTTATCCCCAACAGCGACGGGTCGGCGGCATCTTGGCGACTAGTAGTGGCAGCGGCAGTGGCAGTGGCAGCGGGCAGTGGCAGCGGGCAGCTCCACCCCATGGGACCGGAACGGATCGAAAGCTCGCACCGAGAGTGTATTCCGATTTTCAGCCTCGACTTTATGCACGACACCGCGTTATGCACCCTTTTGTGCAGACCCTCCCCCCGCATCGCTCAGGTCGTCGGGTCGGATGAGCTATCAGTCCGAGCATCCGAGCACCACTTGCTGTGCCAGGCCGTTGAAGTAAGGTTCGGGGGCATGCTAATCATAGTCGGGCCTTGCCTGGAGTCTAATCTTAATCACCCAAGTCTCTTTACTCGAGTACGAAAACGAAAACGAAAACGAAAACGGAATCGGGATCGGAAACGGAAACGGAAACGGAAAATAAAGAGAAAACGAAAAATGACGACGACGTTGACGTTGACGTTGATGGAGGGATAATACTCGAGGAATATCATAATGAACCACGCCGACTATACTTCACCCTTCCCGACCATCCCCTCTGAACTTTTTCTCAAAGGTCGGCCGGCATACCTTGTTGCCATTCCAGCAGCATCGGCCAAGAATACACCAAGCAGGAACAGCAACAGTAACAGCCACGGCGACGAAAGAACGGACGAACAACCTTCGTTCTGTCGTCTGGAATCCGTTGGCGGGTCAGCGAATTCCGAGCCTCGAGAGAAGCCGTTGGGCTTGACTGAGATCATGTCAGTAAGGTACAAAACGAAGGCTCGGGCTCGGGTCCTGCAACAACATGGCTGGTGCGCATCTATACTCCATACACCAAGAGCCTGATGTCCAGTAGGAGACCCACAGATTAATGATCCTTCCAAGTAAGTACTAGAAGATCCACACATTATTGATCCTTCAAGTACGTAGTACGTAGAGCCCAGGCAGCGAAAGAAGGGCCCGGGCCAACTGTTATATACCGCCAGATGCAGCGCCGACAGCGGCTGATAAGATAAATCATGTTCCGCGACACTACGTAAGGGTGGACCTGGACTGGAGTCGAAACTCCATTCGAAAAATGGGAGGGGGTATCCTCATGTTGCTATCCTTTGCCGATAACGTGTTTACCCTCGGGCCTCCAGTCCCACATTTCATTAAGTAGGAACTACGGTACTACTACGTACTACTGTACTGTACGTAGTGCGTACGTAGTATCTTTGATCGGAGAATATACTACGTACGTAAAGTAGCGTTGTACCGGTAGAAGTACTCCGTAGTACGTACGTAGTAGGTTCGTACCATCGGCCTCTTTCTCGGGTAGATCGTAATCTCCCTGCTCCCTGTGTGGATTCGATGACTGCAATCCCCCGTTCACTTGGCAAATGATCGGAATGTAAACATTCTGTAAGTAAGAGAATACTACTACGGTAGTAGTATGTTAACAGGCCAAATGAGCTCATCTCTTGAGATGGTGACATATCTTCTTGCTCTTGGACGGCACCACGGGTAGGTAGCCCGGCAAGGTTCAACGGGTCCACAGTTCTGAGAAGCCGGCTTCTTGGCCAATTCTGGCCTATCCTATTCAGGGGCCATGCTTTTGTTGTTCCATACCAAATCCAAACAATCGGATTGTTGTTTTAATCGGTCCTGGGGCGTTTGCTCTCATCGGATTCATGTTCATTGTCGCCATTGACTTGCGGACCGTCCATTTCCTCCCTCGTTCTGATTCTTCCCGCACCCTCACCCAAGCTCGGCTCCTCTCCATCACGGATCCAGTTTCCCTCTTCGTCAAAGTAGTTCCCCACATTCTCAGCCGTAATCCACCCCCCGCTTCCAGGGAAAGGAGGAGGTAAACCACCATCACTAACCCCTTGCTGAACTCCCGGAAGCCCGCTGATACCCTCGTAACCAACACTTCCCTCGAATATGATTCTATCGTCTTCACCCTCCCCATCATCTCCGTCACCGAATGCTGGGTCTGGATGCAGGTTCGAACAGTTGGAGATAGCGCTAAACAGCTTCTTTATCGCCTCTTCCTCTGTTCCTTCGCCGACGTCAGGGATGAGAGTCAACTCAATCTCATCCTCAAAATCTTCATCGCTGACGGCGTTGGGATCTGACAGGTCGAGTTGCATATAGAGGCCCTGTACCTGCTCGGCGGCCTTCGCGGGGTCCGCCAGACGTTGAATGGCGTGGAGAGAGATGGAGGGGTAGGGGATGGACATGCCGATGTGGGTAGCTTGGTTGAACAATGTGAGGTTTCTGCCGAAGCAATTAGCACTGGAAGCAGAAAACTGTACCCGGGTGTAGACTTGCTCTGAGCTGATCCAGACATCTATGAATTGCACAGTCATCGCATCGTCCAGAGCCGCCGACGCTGGCTGCGAACTAGCGTCGGCGCCAGGCCCGAGGACTGGAAGCTTGGGTATCTGGTCTCGAGAAGCTAGAGCCCGGACATGTTGCTGCTTGTAATGGAGGACTGGCTTTGCATTGTAGAACGATGAGGGGGTTTGCGCCTGGTGCTCTTCGAGGTCGGTAAACTCCTCATCTATCGGGCATTCGTGGATTGTTGTCGGTGGCATAGTTGGCAGTCCGTAGAAATCCGTGTGGCTTGGGCGATGATAGGCTTTCTTGGGTCGAGAAATGAGTGATGTTGTCGACAAGGCTTCATAGATTCCTCATGAACCTCACAAGGCTGAGATCATATATAATTTTTTAGCGTGGGTGTGGCCCAAGCGCTCGCTACCCCTCGATTTGGAAACAAAATCATCATTCACTGCGCACCATTTGATTCTCTTACAGCACAGTGTGCTAGCATGTTATTTGGCCTTGTTGTGCCTAGAAATACCTCAAATACTCAAGGCTTTCCGAGATTTTCTCTACCCATACGCTCACGACGACTCTTTTTACCTCACCTTCTAGGTGTTCGAAGAGTGTTTGCTATTGGAATAGGGTTTGTAGCGCCGTATAGACGTTCTTATAGTACTTCAGAATCCAAAAAAGCATTTAAATCAGCCAGAAATCTTCCTTGCTTAACAATGAACATACACTTTGACAGCAGAGTTGACTGCAATAACACGCTATTCTACGCTAGTGTTCTGGGGTGTATTTGCTGTTGTTACAATATCGTCTCCGGCTATGTCAAGGGCCGGCAGAAATATTACCCCAGGAAAAGTGGGAGCAACGGCGATTCATTGTTTCTACGGAAAGAGATGGAGAGAATATATATCCCTCCTATCTACCCTTAGTATGCACTTGTTGCTTCCGTCCATCAACTGCGGGCGCGGAACTATTTCTCTATAATCATGTTTCTAAATCCCTTTCAGGCACCACCATAGGTAAGATTCACTCAATGTCCTTTAGCTGAACATCTATATTACATTCTACTTTAGTCATCAAATTGGAGCTACCTTAGCTGTATTGCTCAATCCTATGATAAAATAACTACTACCTACCAGCGGAGCAAAGCTCAGCTACTATACTCTCTCACAAGGGTATAATGTACCTCTCAAGTGAAAACTCAGCACTTCACCTTTTCGAAGACTGGTTCTAGCCCTCAACCTTGTAGTAAGAGCTTAATATTAAACTTTCCTAATGAGACGGATATGTGATGCATGTTTTCTCGATACGGAATCACACACACTAACCGAATCGGTGGCTGGTTTACCGTTGATGATGATAACAATAATTGATATTAATCAGTTATAAGATCACTTAAAGCCCAAAATCCATAATCGAAACCTAACACCAGCCGGTGATCCCTTCAAAGAAAGAAGGAATAATAATTTTTTTTCTTATTCAAAATTATCTATACATAGAGAGGTATTACTAGCAGTCGTTGCGATTGACATAGCCTTTGAACGCTGCATATACCTCCTCTCATTGCCCTCGATCTTTCTATAAAAATTCTGACCGACTAAGTATCTTGAAATGGGAACCGGGGATGAATATAGGTACCTAGTGATTGATCCCTCCGACTCCCATTCAATCGAGTTACAAAACTTCGCCAGTTTCTCCCCTCAATACAATCACAACCACCGAGACTCAAAGAAAAGAAGTGCCCCTGAAAATGGATACCCTTTGAATTATGATTCAGCAATCAATCTTGAAAACTGCCATAGGTTAGTGATGGTGATGTGTGGCGAAAGAAGTGAACTTTTGCAACGGGCTCGGTTGAGATCCGCATAAAAGCAGATCCATCACCACCACGCACGCACATCTCTATAAACAATATCATTCCTCTCAACCTTCAGAGATCCTGGAAGCGAAAGAGTATTCTCGGTGAAGCAACAAGCGGACTCGAGGCTTTCCAATATGGTGGTTGGCATATCAATAAAGTAACAAACTCCTTATCTTACGTAGTATATACTACAAGGTCTGATCCCTGGTGGCCCTCCGCAAGCCCCGGGGCCAGGGGACCTTGCTTCGTCCGGTCGTGGTGCAAGGCTGCCTTCCGCATTAACGCTAGTAGTACATTAATTTTCTTTTTAAGAAATACGCTTTTAAAAGGATGTAAAGAAAATGCAATGCTGTGGCCCGGCCGCAAGCTAAAACTTACGGCCTTCCGCAAGCTCCGGGGCAAGTTTTCCGGACTTCGCGGGATATAACGCTTTAGCCCGGCTGCAAGCTAAAACTCACGGCTCTTCGCAAGCTCCGGGGTAAGTTTTCCGGATTTCGCGAGATGATATTCGTGATTACTACTATATAACCTTAATAGCTTCTTTTAAGGCGATGTAGCCAGCTACCGGTATCTCTCGAGCATTTTATCTTCAGCAATAGCCCTTTTCCTATAGAATAGCCCCTTTTCCGTGCGATGCAGTCAGCCACTTTTTGAGCGTCTAATTTATAGCCATAGCTCTTTTCAGACCGGTGCAGCTAGCTATCCTTCGAGCATTTAATCTATAGCAATGGCCTTTTTTTGAAGCGACGCAGCAAGCTATTTTTCGAGCTGTTGTCTTTTTATTATTAATTAGCTATCAGTTACAGTAAGTATTCGGAAGGAAAAGAGTTTATGATCGTAAGTTTTAACCGCAAAAAGTGGATTTCGTTTGCAAGAGTGCAAATCTAGCTTGTTTACCTAACTCGTAAGATCTTTCATGTTCTTATTAATAAGCGGTTAATCAAGTTTTTAATGTTCTTCGATAGCCTAAGCTTAAATCGATGCACTTAATCAACCTAACGGCCGTAGGTCAGGTGACCTCATTTTCAACAGTTTATGGTCTTAGCCAGGACCCCTCATTTAGTTTAGCATTATATCAGATTAGATCGTATTTCCTTACTTATCTTGCATCTCGAATCCACTTGCTTATACACCAATTTTTTTTACTCGTGACACTTATCTTTGCATGCCCGTCTATGAAATACCATGGCTTGAAAAAATTTACTGTCGTGCAGTATAGGGTTGTAATGCTGGAAACTGCAATGTGCATTGCAGGTCTGCTTTTGCACAATAAATTCCTTCCTTATCGCAAAGTTGTTATTAACTAACGAAAGTACTCGTGGCAGTGACTAAAGCCTGTTCCGCATCAAGGGAAAAAGGAGAATTTTTTATCAACGCCGTTTATAAAGGTGATGAGAGCTATCTACCTAGCATTCATCCATGACAGCCTCCGTACGCCTTCGCTCGACTGTATTACATCTCAGACCATGCCCATCTGCTTTTTAATTCCTCCAATTAAACGCCTGGGTATTTTGCCGCCTTTATGCCTTTAGTCGCTTAATCAAATCAACCATATTCTTTCAGTGCCAACAAAGCTCGATGCTAGCCCCTACTCAGACATCCATCTCATCACACCTGATCTTCAAGCCTCAGTCGAAGTAGCGCCTCGGTCCAGACCCTTCTTCGCTGGCGAGTCCAGATCCTCGAACTCGGCTCTCGCGATTAAACAATTCTCCATCGCAGCGTTGAAGCGCTCTTCGCCGGGTGGGAGGACGACTGCTAGGTACGTGTTTGTAGTGAATTTAACGAGGAAGAGAGAGAAGTTCGAGAGCTTCAACTCCATCAGTGAGAACTGCTCCGCACTCTTCGGCGTTCCCGTAAACCGACTCGTCGTTTGCTTGAAGTTCTTGATGATATTGCTCAGCCGCTCGTATCGATCCGTCGTCGGATTCTCATTACCGATATCAGAGCACCAACTGCTGACCACCAAGAATGACGAGCGCTCGAACAGCAGGACTTCCTCGGCTTGGATGAGCTTTCCCAGACTCCCGAGGTGATGCTCGATCTGACCCAGGTTCGGAACCAGGTCGTGTATGATCTCCGCCCAGGCTTTGTAGAGAGATTGGTCCCATATGGAGGTTGCAAATGGGATGGGGTTGAAATTATCGGACTTGGATTGGATAAGCTGGACGCGGCCACTGTAGATGTCTTCACGCTGGTGAGGGACCACGAGATCCATCTTGTGGACTAGGACGTAGACGCTAGAAGTGGGGGAGAACTGGCTGAGAGCTATGATGATGGAGCGATAGGTCAAGAGGTCTCGCTCGAGGTCGCGAGACTCAATGTCGAAGACGTATATCAGGACACCAACATTAGAGAAGACGTGCTGGCGTTGCTGGGAGAGGTAATTTTCCATGAAGGCGTCCTGTCTGGGAGGAGTTAGCTGTGCAAACGGACAGAGGTTGGTAGAGCCCATGGCAGCACTTCCGCTGGATGCAGACGGAGGAAGCAGATTTACATTGCCACCTTACTCCTCCGCGCAAAGATCCCTCACGCCGCATACGGATGGAATAATGACCTACCCTCCACAATCCCACAAGTTCAACGTCAAATTGCCCAGGAACTTGACCTGGCTCAGATCGACATCAATTGTAGCTCCCAACCGCCTGGTATCCTTCGCAACATAATTGCTGAATATAATACTCCTCATAGAGCTCTTCCCCGACCCGGATTTGCCCATCAGCAGAACCTTCTTCTTCTTCAACTTGCGAGGCTCCGAAGAGGGTGATCCCCCAGCATCGTCCTGAACGCTGAGATTGTCGAATTGTTTTTCCATATCGCCGTCGGAAGCGGTCTTCGGGGCGGGCCCTGGAGTCTGCGGCGGTGCCAAAGATGATACGGGATCGCGTCGGTAAAATTGTAGTTCTATATCTCCATGATAGTAGTAGAAGGGAGTTGGAGGAGTCTCTGAAGGCCGCTCGCTGGGACTGGGATCCAAGCCGTTTGTATCGCTTGATGTGGTTTAGTCCAATGGCAGATCTGACGCGGACGGTTTGAAGCGGTGGACCGGCTCATCCTCGGTCTAGCATCCAAGCGAGAACGGGAACGTCAACCACGAGTTGGAGACGGCATGGCTTCTTCGTACATCACATATGTCTCTGCTGCAGTGCAACGTATGGTTATCGGAAGCAGGATGTTTCCTTTGTTGTGTAGAGATACTTTTTCTCCTCCTTGCAATGCTTCATCACTTTTTTTAAGCCACTATTATACAATCCACGGAAGAATCGGTCATATGAAGCTTTGCATTTCTACCTGCTGTCTCACAATTCGTCGTACAGATTTCCCGAGGGCTCTCAGCAATTCTGGTTAAGAAGACATCACCCAGAAACGAGAAAAAGCTCCTCGGGAGATCCAGTTGCTTCCAGATGTAGACTTGCAAGCACAGCCACTGATCCGTTGCTTATTATCCATTGCGACTTGTGGTATCCTGCCTCGCCGCTTAATCTAGAAAGAAATGCCCCTCAAGGGCCTCATTCCTCCCCATCTCCAGTGCAACGAGGTGGCACCCAGCTCTCTAATAGACACCAAATATTTCTCCATTCAAAGACCGGCTTTTGACCCTGCTGGGTCCCTTCTTCATTGGCACCCACTCCCCATCCTTTGTCCACGTCCCTGCCTTCGTGTAATCCCAGCTCCTGCTCCCCTGCATATATGCAAAGCGGAAGTAATCATTCCTATGCATCCCATCCCCCTGCTTTTCCCACACAAAGTTCCGGTCACTTGAGAAGCCCTCGTCTGTGTAACCTCTAAACCTCTCAACGTCGTTCACCAGCACCGAGATTCCATCAAAGGGCTCTGGGGGTGTCAGCCAGGAGAACGATATTTTAGAGGTTTCTTCACCCATGGTGATGTTGGGCGGAGGTATAATAGGAAGCTTAGAATTATGCTGTGCATCGCCTCGCAAGGCGTTGAGGGTTTGCAGAACAGGGTCGAAACCCCAGCGCGCTATGCCGTTGATAAAGAGGCCGACAAGGAGTCCCTGATAGAGGAGTGCCGGCCGTGTTTGCATGCTCGTTCCTGGCAACAGCAGGAGAGCGAGGATGTAGTGGTGGATTCGCAGGCTCAGGCCTGGGATGAGGAGGCAGAGCAGAATCGCTCCGATGAATGTGCCATAGAGGCCGAGGTAACGGATGAGGCGTCCTTCGCGGCGGAAGAAGAACGCCTGTTTGATTACTATCAAGGCGATCAATGTGACGATGAGAGCCAATGCAAGTTTGGCGCCAGGCTGCTGTTTCAGGTCATGAGCGTTGAGACGCTGGATGGGGATCCAGTCTAAAGTGTAGTTGGAAAGAGCGGCGAACCATAGCCCTCCAAGCCAGAGGACAGTCTTCTCGATTTGAGCTGTAAGGCCAGAAAGGGCTCTCCGGACGCCCATGTAACGATATATTACAAATGCACAGAAGGTGGCTGGAAGGTATTTCCCTAGCAAGTTCGAGACCAGGCCTGTGATTGTGAAGTATGTTGGGGGATCTGATGCTAGGCCAACATGGAAGAACACGCCAGTGAAGATGCTGAAGAAGAATAAGGCAGGTGATGTTGTAAATAGCGAAAGTAGAATGGTGAAAGTTAGCGAGACGAAGAGGAGTGGCCATCGAGGATCCTTGGCCTCACAAGCAATCCCTGGTTGGAAAGTGAAGGACGATGGAAATTCTGAGTCGAATCCAATACTTTCAATACCATGCTTTTTTGAACTAGGGTAGTTGCTGTGCTTTCCTATGAGAGAAACCACTCCACAGCCTCCCTTGGCGTTATCAATGATTCCAGCGTGGATAGCTGATCCACATATAAATGAGTCACTTCGGTAGACTGGAGATTCTTCTTCCTTCGCGGGACCTCCAATAACCAACGGCCTGTAGTTGATCTCTTGTGCTCCTACAGCACGAGGATTCAGGACCATCGTACTGGCGCAATTCGCTGGACATCTGAAAGCAAACCCACTGTCATTGAAAGGCCGGCAGTCGTTTCCATTCATCCCACATCTATTCCCGGGCACCCAATAAGTATCCCCACAGCCAATGTTTCCTGGGGTTCCCCATCCCTCAAGTTCCGTAGCAATGGTACTTTGTTGCATGACCATGGCAAATGTGAGGATCCATGTAAAGTAGAAGGCAATCAAGATACATATTTTCTGTCTTTTCTTTGGTACGTAACGATCAAGCAACCGGAGAGGAAACTCTTGTACGAGCGGGAGTATCGTATCAATCGTATGTATATGCGGGGGCTCTGGTCCTGCAGCCCACTTCACAACCGCCTTGCTCACACGTCGAACGGGACCCGGAATCCATTTCGGGTATCGATATGAGCTCTGGTCCTGCAAAAATCGCGGGGTTGGAGGAGGACTGTCGTCGTCGAGCTCGCCCATGTGGAGAATATGGTTTTGTGAGGACTCGTCGATGGGATCGTCAGGATGCTCATTTACTAGAAGCCTGTATTCCCCCCTTTCCCTCTCCTCGTCGCCATTGAAGGGCATCATTCCGAGCGCTGGCCTGGTGTTGTTGTTACTGCCGAGGAATCCGGAGAACGACAAACGGCTTTCTTTGTGGATGGATATCCTGTGGTATTGTGAGGCAGCTGTCCAGAGATCGCTCACAAGGGGTGCAGCTGTCCAACGAACCTGTTGTGGGATGGCCGAAGCAGACAGCAAGCAGCATTAAAGAAGGTGTTGATACAGACGTCATGAAGGATACTCGGACATTGGATTTCATGCTAAGTGCAAGCCAAGCTGGCTTGGGCAATCAAAAGGCCGTGGCGTAAATAGTAGCGCTTACTTATCGGGAATCACTCGCTCCGATCGCTAGCGGCCAAGCGTCTATTTTGCCGCAGCCGCAGCCGCAGCCGCGCTTCAACCTAACATCGGGGTTCAAGTTCAAGAGAAGGATGGATGGGCAAAGACATCAAGCAAGACTCGACAGAAATGTTTCTGAAAGCCCAGGCAAATACTCTGATTCTTTCAGAAAACCACGATTGACTCTGAGGGAGCTGGCCTGCAGACTATCCAGCAACATCGAATCAATTCCCACCCCCTCGGTTCGCATTTGTGCGGACTTCAAAGATCCACAATGACCTCTTTGAATGGAGTCTCAGAACAAGGAAAGAGACTTATCTTTGAAGTTCTCAGTCATGTCGACTCGAGTGTGGCTGGCCCAAGGCTTGGACGACTCTCCCTGCCAGGTAGAGAGGATCTTCTGACGCCAGGCTTTTTTGCCGTTGGTTCCCGTGGAGTTGTCCCGCATATCACGCCCGATGTAATCACATCTCATACAAATTTTGGAGGTGTACATATGGCCTTAGAAGACTGTAAGCCTACCTAGCCATGATCGCGCATCCGATTTCCATTCTCATGTTCTCTCACAGTTATAGAGAGAGCGAACAAGGATACACCCCCGATTTTGAATACGCCAGGTACCTCTCCTATCCATAGTTTTACATCTCTCCCCCAAAACCTGTTCACTCTTCTGGCTCCTCGGCGGACACCGGCAGTTTCTGCTCCAAATGGTAATAGTAATACTGCCATCTCTGTATTTACCTCTACTGGTTTCCAGACTGTCTCGAATAAGACGTATATCTCATATATCGAGGGCCTTCGACCAGATATTGCCATCGGTTTGGCTGATGTTCCTTATGGTACCCAACCGGGGACGAAAAGGATTGCCAAGATGGGCGACAGAACCCAGGAATGGTTATCACAGCTTCTAAAAGAGAAGATTGAGGGCCAGGCGGTTTTTGCACCTGTTCTTCCAATCGATTTTTTGGACCAGTCGGAATATATTTATCACGTTGCAGAGGATTTAGCAAACCAAATAGCTGGTCTTGCTTTTTACGACTCGAATGTACTACCCGATGTTCCGGCCACGTCAATGGCCACTCGTCTCCCAAGACTCTCACTTGACGAGCCATCGTCTCCACGGCAGATTATCAGGCAAGTATCCCTCGGTATGGATATGTTCACGGTGCCGTTCATCGGGTTCGCAACGGATGCGGGGATTGCGTTGAGCTTTCGATTCCCTCGCTCGTTGCCCGCCGGTACTTCCCCAACCCACGGGACTGAGATTCTCCCTCTCGGAATCGATATGTGGCCTGAATCTCACGCAACATCTTTGGAGCCTCTCAGTACTTCTTGTACCTGCTACACATGTACAGACTATCACCGAGCCTTCCTCCGACACCTGCTATCAGCGAAAGAAATGCTTGGTTGGGTACTATTGCAAATTCATAATCACCACGTACTATCGGAGTTCTTCGCAGCTATTCGCGAAAGTATCAAAAATGGAACTTTTAACGCGGACTGCGATGAATTTTCAAGGATGTATGAGCCAGAATTGCCGGGGAAGAGTGGGCAAGGGCCAAGAGTCCGAGGATATCACTTCAAGAGTGAGGGTCCGGGGCAAGCGAAGAAGAACAAGTCTTCTTGGGGGAACTTTGGAAGCAGTGGCCAAGAGGGCACTGCTCTGGTACCCGATGAGCCAGCATCCTAATTGAAAGGGAAGGGATTTGCCGAGAAGGTCGACGTTTGAAGCTGATCGGGCAATGAAAACTTTTCCCAGCTCCTCTCAACCATGAACCTGCATCTGCGGGTCACGATCCGAAAATGTTGCTTCCAGTTCGCAGTCAGCGTCTTCTGTCACTTATATCAAGCTGTATTGCAGTGGTATAACATGCCTCAACGGTCATTTGACCCGAGACGGTGCGCCTGATTTTGGCTGTGAGTTCCAAAAACGCAAACAGGCGCTAGAATTCGCATCCTCTTTCTTTCTGGGTTTTCGTGTTGCGGGATTTTCGCAATTCATGGCTTCATTTTCACTATTGATTTGCTATTTCTACATCCCATCCTTGATCACCCGTAGTGCGGAGTAACTCTGTACCAACTACTCAGGAACGATTACAACATTGCCATGCAAAGGTCCCTGGGCCTGTATATTCTCTTGAATGAGCAACTGGCGGCGTGCTGGAGCAGAAGGTGTTTCGAGCGGGTAGTGGCACAGACCCGTCCGGACCTGCTTGATAAAACAAAGCGTGAAACCCCCGTTTTCTGCTGGATTCGTAATTCGTGATTCGTGAAAGCTCACGCATTCAACCATAATTCAGCCATCGAAGCCTGAGCTTTGCCCTTGGCCGGGCGTGTTCTGCGACGCTCGCATGGGCAAAACTTGGCTGCGCTATACCCTTGTGTTGTCACAGAATAACTACACATCTCAAGTTCTCAGCATCTCAGCCGTGCGTCTCTAGTTTTGACCAGTCAACGCCTGTTTCCATCATAGTATAATCACTCTTTCCCAAGTCATTCACAGAGCTTGAATAAGGCACCCTCAGAACCCTTTTGACATCTAATAACTCGCATTTTCACTTCTTTCCCTTTGCAAACCCTCCCGACCGCATTCAAAATGTCGGACCCCAGGGACTCCGAACACAAGACTTTCCTCAAATACTCAGACGATGATGCCTCAGTCGACGACATCCAGTCCGAGTCCAGCCACCGTCTCCATGTCCACTCAAGTAACCATTCACCTCTGATGGGCTACGCCCTAACCTTCCTCCTCACTTCCGCCTTATGGCTCGGCCTCCTCCTCCTCCTCGCGCCCTCCCCCGTCAGCAACCCTTCAAACCATGCCCCTATACTCCCAAACGACCTATACAACTTAACCTCGTCCTCGACTCTCATCATGTGCCCCAACACCACGACAGCCGCGCGTGCAGCCGGCTGCAAATACGACCTGCTGCTCAACAACTGGATTCCCGCGTCATGCTGGGACCAAGACTATCTGGACGATTACATCGACGACGGATCTTGGAGAGCGTTCGCCGACAAGGCACTCACCATTCCTGTCAATACGAGCGAAGAGATGAGCGAGAGGGAGTTCTACTGGACGAGCGCAAGGGATCACGTGAACCACTGCGCGACGATGTGGAAGAAGCAGTTTACGGCCATGTTTTATGATACTGGGGTACTGGACAGTGTGGTTGCGAACCCGTTCCATACTGATCATTGCGCGACTTTTTTGATGGAGAATCATGGCGACGAGCCGACGAGGGTGGAGGTTGGATTTGCGGGGTGTTGGGTCAAGAATTGAGACAAGGCCCGATGGTGTGGTGGTGTCTGTAGTGGGGGTGAGCGATTTGCATTATAAATCTTGATCTTACGATATTTGGTTGTTGAGTGTCTTGGACTCGGTTTCGATATCGAAACTGTTAATAAATGTAACATTAATCTGCAGAGTTTGTACTATCATCATCCAGACTCAGGCGGCAACATACCATCTTATCGTCAACTTCTCCTCTGCTCTCGAGTTCATCCCTCCTCTGTCATTTACCCTCACGTAAGTTGCAACTGAAACATCATCTACGTACTCCATCGAATCATGATTTCAAAATACTTGCAAACCTCCTATGCAGGCCCCCTTCCTTACGGATACATCTCCTCGACATCAATCCTCTACTCTTTTATCAACACTGCAAGTCTGGCTTCTCGTGCATATGCCTCCTTCCAGTGGCGATCTGCTGTCTATTGAAGACTGAACGGTTCTGGAGGGAATGTATATACATACGAATACCAGTGATGAGCAGAAGTGCCGCCTCACTATTCACGGGCAGGAGTGTAGTGAATTCTTCCGTTTCACAGAGGCCATCGAGATGGATGTCAGTGCAAGGAGAATAGAATAGTGCGACCTCCGACCAGCGTTGAAGCCAGCCACGGTGAATACGTATTCAAAGAGCAGTCAATCCCAAGGCTTGGATTTCCGAATCGGTTACCTATGCAAGCGTATACGGGATATTTAGCAACTATCTAACGGAGCAGCGCAGTATTTAAGAGGAGATCATTTACCTACCTGTTCACGGATGTTATCATTCGTTCCTCGATCCGAACTATCGTCGGCATATGACTGCCGACGATGAAGTTTTTGTGAGACGCTTCGAAGCTAGACTTTCTTTACAGGCAGGCAGAACTGGACGTGTGTGTTTTGGCTCGTATTTTTGTGGGAGATGAATTCGTAACAATGTTACAGGATGAAAGAAAGAAATAATAAGTATTAATCCTCTCGTCGCTTTAAAAAAAGGAGGTGGAGAGACTTGACCTGATAGCGAAAAGAGAGTTGACAGCTACAAGAGACATGACAGCACTCCCCTCAAATTCGATTCCATCTCCGATACGAAGTAACTCATTAGCACAGCTCCTGCAAATATCCCATATGGGAATACTCTTCCTATGTATTAAGTGACCAACTCAATAGAATCTTTACAATCCAGATCTATCTCCAAGAACTTTCTTTCCCGCTCGCTCGCTCTTCTGCCCATTCCTGAACCTGTTGAAAACCTAGGTACCTACCCTACTCAAGCTCCGTACGTATCTAGTCGACACCATTAATAGCCCAGTATACAATTGCCAAAGACTAGGTGAGTGTATTAGAATCATAACACTTAGTCATAGCAAATCCACTGCATCTACATTTTTCACCACAGGGGCTCCCCTCCAATCCCCTTCCGCATCCATACCAAGATATCGACGTAAACTCACACCTCTTTACCTTACCAAATAAGTACCTATGAGAGTAGCGACCCATTGAATTAGTAATTCCTACTTCCATCTAGTTTCTTACCCATAGAAAAAAAATTAAGAAGAAAAGAAAAAGAAGAAAAGAAGAAGGAGAAAAGAAGAACAAAAAAGTAGAACAAAAAAGAAGAAGAAAAAAGAAGAAGAAGAAAGGAGAAGAAGAAAAGGAGAAGAAAAATAAGAAAAACAAGGGGAAAGGTTAGAGACTCATCTACTTCGTAATAATTCACATTTCCTGTCTTTAGCTACTGCATAACATATCTCTCCCATTTGAATGAATGCGAATAGGAATAGGAAGAAAGACGGGATACTTCGTGGGAATCAACAAATCACTCGTGTATCCACAAGGAAGTAGTAAGAGGGAGAGACAAATAAATAAAATACGGGCCAAGTCATTTGTACGAATCAAGCAAGCAACGACGCCACACATATTACTGTCATTGGGAGAGACTCTCGGTGAACATCTGTATTATTTGGTAAGAGCTCCCATCCTGAACTTGCCAGGTCAGCCCGTATCGTCCGACTATGATACATCCGAAGCCCCGAAAATCTTTGTACATATGGCTCAAGTCAATTACTTCAAGAGCCGCTTGCCCCCAACCTTGACCCCGAACCGCTCGGTCCCACTATGTTGCTGCAGTTGCCAAAGTCCCAACTGCCCAACCAACCCCCCATCAGCTTCCAGCAGGCGCCTTCTGTGAGCCTCGCGTAGGTGATCCGGTAGCAGTGGTCCTCTCCTCTTCTCCTTTTCTGGCGGCACACTACCTTCAGCTGGGGGGCTCGGAAGTCCTGTCTGATTGTCCCCCGTCGCCTCAATCCACTGCGACTGGACAGCCCTCGCCCGCTCAATGAGCTCCCCCGAAAACATCTTCGCCGCCGCCTTGACCGCGAGAATCACATTCGGCGGCACAGACTGCGAGAGAGTTTGATTCACAATCTGTAAGATCAGCTGGTGCCCTCTGATATTACCACGATAAACTTACCCTCCGCACCGTGGCGTCGGCAAGCTTACACTGCCTCCAAATGGCATATCTCTCAGCCTGCGATGGCGAGAGAATCTTGTCGACCAGGTGAGCTCGCTTTGCAGCCTCTCTATCCTTCTCCTCCTTCGAGGCCAGAGCTACGTTCAGTGACATCTCTTCCCCACAACCCTCTTCCTCCTCCTCCTCGTCATCTACCGATTCGCCTCTGCTTGCTTGCCGCTTGCTCTTGCCAGTATTGGACATGACGGACTTGGCGCGGCTGCCGGCGACAGAGGAGGTCTCGACGTCCTTGCCCCTGGACTTCCTTGACTTCTTCTTCTTGCCGCCAGCACCGGAAACGAGGGACATGGTGTCCATGCTGGGTGAGCGCGAGAAAGCAGGCGTGTGGCCATGGGTTTCGGGAGGGAAGGAGGTTTGGCGGAGGGGATGAGCAGAGCCGGCTGTGGAGGCAGTAGAAAGCTGGCGGCGCTTCGACGCTGGGCCTGACGTGGGCACTTCGGATTGTCTGCGCTTCACGGGAGCAGGGAGTTGCGCATTCGAGGGGTATGGAGGGGAAATGGCGGAGGAGTAGTTCTGGTTGTGGTTGTGGTTGTAGGGCGGAGAAGACGCCATGATGGTGGTTGTGTGGGAGCTCAAACGGAGTTATATTCTCGTCGAGGACGTTGGTGTTTGTTGATTGTAGTAGTTGTATTCGTGTAGAGTCGCGTTGAGGTACAGGTTTCGTAATGTCGGTGCATCGGTGCAATGGTGAAGTGGTGTGGATGATGGATAGGTGTGATTATAAGAAGTTATAAGGTACCTAGTAGTTGACGAGGCTGAACAGTCTGTGCCAAGACGCCAGTGCAGCCTTATGAAGCTAAACCTAGGTTGGAAGATCATAAAAAGTGGATAAATTATTTTCCTGCCGGTAAGCGAGAAGGCCCCCTTGCTCTCGCTTAAGTGCCCGATTGTCATGTCAGTTCTTTAGTCTATTACGGTACACTTTGTCGATTTGGACGTGGACGCACGGGCCACAATATCTGGGAGGCTAGGCTGGGCTGTATAATATAAATTTCGTCGAAATTGGACAAGCCATTTCTCTCCTCCAATTCAACCCGACATCTTCAGCATCATGGTGAAATTCGCCAATTCACCTCCCAAACCCGAACAATCGACCTCAGACAATATAAAAATGGCATTTTCGAATTCCCCCAACAAAGAAATCCTCAATGGCTCCCCCAGGCAGGAAGAGGGGCAGAGCAAGAAGCGCAAGAGGAAGCAGAAGAGCGACAATGGACCCAGAGTCAACGTGTCGCACTCGAAGCGCAGACACAGCGTCAGCAAGCCGGCGCGAGATCCGAGAGACGAAGCGAGTCCGGTAAGAGCACAAAAGGAGCGTGCTGGGACGAGGTCGCCGAGTCCGGTTATTGATTTCGATGGATTGAGTCGGCCGAGTATGCTCACCCTCTACCTTTGTCTTTCTCCTCCTCGGAGAACCAATGCTGAGAGAGGATACAAACAGGTCTGGGAACACGAGAACGCAAAGAGGAGACACCAGCGCAAGCGGAAGCACGCCTCCAGAAACTCGCGGGCGCCGTCCGAACAATCCTTGAGTGCGTAGGCGAGGACCCCGATCGCGAAGGCTTACTAGGCACCCCGGAGCGGTACGCGAAAGCAATGCTCTTCTTCACCAAGGGGTATCAGGAGAATGTGCGGGACATAGTCAATGATGCGATTTTCCACGAGGGCCACAATGAGTTGGTTATCGTAAAGGATATCGAGGTCTTTAGTCTGTGCGAGCATCATATGGTGCCGTTCACTGGAAAGGTAGGCTCTGCGAACTTCAGGGCGAAGAGAATGGTGATGCTGAAAAATTCAGATGCACATTGGGTATATCCCCGACAGAGACGTGATTGGTATCTCGAAGTTGCCGCGGATAGCAGACATGTTCTCCCGCCGATTGCAGATCCAAGAACGCCTTACAAAGGATGTCGCACATGCCGTCATGGAGATTCTGAAACCTCAGGGTGTAGCGGTGGTTATGGAGTCGAGCCATCTGTGTATGGTGATGCGAGGCGTGGAAAAGACCAGCGCTACGACAATTACGAGTTGTGTGTTGGGCTGCATCGAGAAGCGTGAGAAGACCAGAAACGAGTTCTTCAGCTTGGTGGGTCTTAACAGACGGTGATCGAGGTGGGGAGGATTTTTGCTGCATTTCCGGGCGTTGGGAATAAAGGTTTGAGCGATCAGGATATTCAACACCGGCTCATTGGTTACGGCGTTCAGTGGCTTCATCATCAGCTCTTCCAGGCTCTCACACAATCAAGTTCCTTCCCATGGCTGCCCTCCGAGACAGCCCTCACAACCCCCTCTACCTCTTTCCAAATCCTCTCCCCAACAACATCAACACCAGCCCCGGCATTCACAACCCTCATGCCCTTCTCATCCCCCTCTCCCTCCAACAAAGCGAGGAACAGCTCCCTTACCCTCATCTGCATATCCCTCTTCTCATACTTTTCCTCTCCATACCCACCCCTCTTCTCTGCCTCCTCTGCCTCCAGATCCAGAAACACAACGACATCGGGTTTCGGCAGCCCTGCGTCCGGGCTCTGCGCCCAGGATAAGGAGAGGGAGGGGTTCTGTTTTGCGGCGCTGTAGACCATGCCAGAGTAGTAGTAGCGGTCGCAGACTATGGTGGAGCCTGAGGCAAGGGTGTTCCGGATCCATTTACTTTTGGGACTTGTCAAATGGTTTGTAGAGAAGGGGAAGGGAAGGGAAGTAAAGGGGAGGGCGAATGGAGGATAAGGGAACGCACGCTTTCTCCCATCGATTCGCGGAAAAGAGGAGGTGGATTGCGTGGTCATCCATCTCGAGGGCGCTTTGGAGGTAGCGGTCTATCATGCTGCCTATGGGCGATGTTCGGTCTGGATACTTGCCGTTTTAGCACGAGTACAAGCCTATGTAAGATAGAAGGGAAAGTAGAAGAAATGAAGAAGAAAAGAAAAACGGAAAACGTGGAAATTGGGTTTGTAGGCAGCTAGCGGGTAGGTACCGGGAAATCGTATAGTCTTCACATTGTGCCCCGAAGCATAGAGTCTGTCGCATATCCTCTTCACCTGTGTAGTCTTTCCCGCTCGATCCAAGCCTTCGATTACTATGAATGCGCCTCGTGTGATGGGATCTGCTGGCTCTTGCCATGGATACGGGTCGTTTGGAGAAGCTGACATGTTTAGTATCTCTTGCCGGTCGGGTCGGGTTGAGTGTGCAAAGTTGAATTTTGGAGTTATGGTGGTGAAAGACTTTGTTCGCAGTTTCGATCAAACCCCAAGGTGGACGAAGAGCAATGCAGACTCGAAATTTTAGTAATCGCGTCGAGGGAGACGCGATCTCCCTAGCGTGGTTTCAATCGTCATCCTCGTCCAACTTCACATTTATTACACCCGAACGACAACCCTGGCGGCTACACCATCGACGACGACACCGAGGACCCACCAGTTTTAGGAGAAGGATAAGATCGAAGGGCGAGGCCATAATACCCAACAATACTCAACGCCAAAGCCTTTGCGAAAGGTCTCTGCAACACCGGCGCAACTCATCAAACCGCATCGACAACCTCGGACTCACCTCGTATGCGCCCGATCCTATGATCTAGCCGGCAGGCAGCTGCCACCTTCGACACGCATACCATCAATACGCTGCAAGTTCCTACAGCCTGGACACCAAGTTGCGACATTTACGAAGTAACACATCACGTTCCAATAAAATGGCGGACCAAAAGCTGGTCTGGAATCCTGACAACATACGCGATGTCGCCGAATCTGTCGGCATATCAGCCTTGAATGAAGATGCCGTTCGGACTTTGGCGAACGAAGTGGAATACAGGCTCAGCCAGGTCATCGTGGAGGCCATGCGATTCATGCACCAGGGAAAGAGGACGGTGCTGGGGACCCAGGATATCTCCCAGGCGCTGAAAGTGCTGGACGTGGAACCGCTATATGGCTATGAGTCTACCAGGCCGCTGAGATTTGGGGAGGCCTCGCTGGGGCCAGGACAACCGCTGTATTACATCGAAGATGAGGAGGTTGACTTTGAGAAGTTAATCAATGCGCCGCTTCCGAAGGTCCCGAGGGATGTCTCGTTTACTGGTAAGCTTTTTTTGGTAGATCGGAGAGAAGGTCTAACATGTTGTAGCACACTGGCTTGCGGTCGAAGGTGTTCAGCCTTTGATACCGCAGAACCCAAGCACAGCAGAAGCTCGCGCGGACGCATCAGTAGCCAAAGGACCAGGTGCAAACCCAACCCTGGCAGCCCTTGCAGGCAACGACAATGTCCCTGGCAAGCCGCTGGTCAAGCATATTGTCTCTAAGGAAATGATCCTCTTCTTCGACAAGATCAAGGCGGCTATCCTTGACGAAAGTCTCGATCCAGAAGTCGTTCTTCTACGAAATACCGCCTTCCAAAGCGTCCGTTCAGATCCCGGGCTGGCCCAGCTCGTCCCGTACTTTCTCCAATTCGTCGCCGAGAAAGTCACTCATTCCCTCGGCAACCTCTTCGTCCTCCGGCAGATGATCGAGCTTACCCAAGCCGTAATCGAGAACAAATCTCACTACGCCGACCCGTACGCACTCTCGCTCACCGCTCCCATCGTCACCTGTATCATCGGACGTAATCTAGGCGGCGAGGCCGCACACTTGAAAGATCAATATGAAGTCCGAGACCTCGCCGTATCGCTGCTCGGTCAGGTCGTCCGCAAATACTCTACCTCGAGCACGATGCTCAAAGCCAAACTCACCAGGACCTTCCTCAAGAACTTCCTCGATCCCGCGAAACCACTAGATGTCCACTATGGAGCAATGTGTGGTCTCGCTACCGTCGGCGGCCCTAATGCAATCTCAGCGCTCATCCTCCCAACTCTCAAGAAATACGACGAGGAGATCCTATCCAGAGCCCAAAACGAGCTCGGGCCAAGTAATGAGCGAGTCTTGATGATGACTGCAGCCCTCGTGAAAGCAGTCATGAGCCTAGTTGACAGTCCACCCGCCGCAGAAACGAATGGCACAAACGGCAACGCGGCGGAGGGGCAGCTGATTGAGGACTACCTAGGCCCTATAATCGGTGGACGGGTCGCTGCGCTGGGAAACCACAAGCTGAACGAAGCGGTACTGAAGTCGAGGGAACAACCATCTTGACAGCGAGAGGCGGCTGCATTTACGAGCGGGCATACATCAGGGGCATACATCAGGCGTCTGGGATCTGGATATCGGGGCAGGCATCGGGGGTTGAAGAAAGGTTCGCGCGCACGTATGGGAATTTATCTGCACGGCATGATACCATCCCTCGATGCGAATAACAAAAAGTGCTGTTATGTAGGCCTCCTTCGTAGGGGGTAGTAGATTAGTGGTGTGTGAGGCCTGGCATCGCCTTCTCGAATTTCGAGATCATGCTTCAAGGGTCACGTTTTGGCTTTGACGGCATCACATAGGTATCCAGCTCAAAACGTAGGTACTTTTAGCTTGGTCGCACGTCTTCGATACATTGCCTCTTTCAAAAGCGATTAAGGATAATTGAAATCAGCTAATCGAATTATGATTCTAGACTCTGGTGGCCGCACTCTACTCTAGTAATGGAAGTGGGTAGGTAGTAGCATAGCAAACCGGTCTGAGACGACGACGGTTTCAATTTACTTTTTCTCTTCTTGTCCTTCTCTTCCTCTCTTTTTTTCTCCTTGTTTGCCTTCTCGTGCCTTTTTTGTTGTTTGTTGTGTTTATTTGTGTATTGCGTTGTTGTATAGCTTGCCTGTTGATTGGTTGTTTTATTGGATGATGTTTTGGGCTTGAGCTGATGATGATGATGATGATGATGATGATGATGATGAGATGGGATGATGGGATGCAGAGAGATAATAAGACGTCTGGTATTCTCGCGTTTAAGCCTATTTAGGATTTTGAGTAGCGGGGATTGCTGGGTGTGTTTATTGTGATGTTTTATGTTCTTATCACTTGACGTGAGTAGCGTGCGAGGTTTATCTGTTTTCTTGAGCTGTTTGGCTTTATGTGCGGAGATGGTGTCGTCAGTGTTTCTGTACCAGCTTTACTGGGTACTGTGTACTGGGCAATGGAGGGTTGGGGGGCTTTTAGTTGTTAGTGTTGAGATGATATGTTGAGATGATGTGGCAGCGGGTGAGAATTGTCAACTCTGCATGCAATACCAATACGAACAGGAAGTCTCTGTTTGAGTGGTAGTAAGTAGTGTTTGAGTCGGCGCTGCGGGAACGAGCCTGGGGAATCAATATGTGAATATACCTGGTTTTCCTCCTCATCGATCAATACGGGCGAAGGCAGCTGCTGATGATCGGTGCTACACGTCGGCAGCAGCATCTGTCTGCCTCGGGTACGTTGGCGGCTACGTTGCCGTCGCCAAACCCGCCCTACATTCATCCGACAACATCACTGCCGTCCTCCGACATCTCGGCCATCTTTTTCTCTTGCTATCTCTGGACCGTACGTTCCTTCCTCCCTCCCTCCTCCCCCTTTCTTTAACCACCCACCAAGCGAAGCATCCAAGCTCAGCTAACGCCAAAACGCCAAAAACGCCAGGCGTTCTACTCTCCAACCTGGAACCCCACGTCGTGGGCCTGGTCTCCGACTCGGGAATGTCCGACCAGAATATCCGCACGCCCCAGATGTTCGCGGGGGTGGGGGCTACGGCGTGCAGCTTCTTCTTCCTCCTTCGCCGCGCTGATGCTCGTCTCCTTCGTTTACTTCCTCCTGCCGGAGACGAAGAAGAAACATCCCGCTCGAGGCTACCGATCGCTTGGTTGGATCGAAGGCTGAGGGCGATGGGTGCCCATGGCGATGCGTTGTGTGGATAGAGCTGCGCGGTGAGGAGGAGGCTCTGCGGGCGGGGATTGTGGAGGGTGGCTTGGAGAAGGGCGGTGGTGCTGGTTGAGCGAACGGGTTGAGGTTGGCGATGGCTGAGGCGGCGACCCAGCGTTCTTTAGTAGATCGGGATGGCGGGATGGGAGGTGTGGTCTCGATGGATATCTCTGGTCTGGTACTGATATGAAAGTCGAGTTTATAAAGGTCGGTCGTGGTCGTGGTTGTGGTTGTGGGCGTGGGTGTCGTCGCGTTTTACTATAGCGCTGATGGTGGAGACCGAGAACCATGGAGTCTGCCCATTGTCTTTCCTATATGCCGTCTAGAGTTCTATTGTGCTGAGCTAGCGCTTTCACACGAATCCTGTTATTGTTGCATGTTATTTGGTTTATAACTTGGCGGGATGTTTGTTTGTTTGCTTTCACGGCCTTCACTTGTCAGCTCCGGAACGTACGGGGTAGAGAACTGCCTAGTTGGGTTTGCAGCTCTATCAGCTTATTGAGTTTGGAAGCTTGTTGCTAGCTAGCCTGGGGCAACTCTAGGAGATCTATGCCATACATTATCTTCGACTCATCATTCGTTGGAAAATAGCGAACTTTCTTTCTGCAGATTATATCCCCTTGGCAGCTCACGAACCGCGTTTACACACCTCTCCACCATGGAACCATCAAGAGAACGCCAGGCATATCAGCGCCTCGATCATACTCTCTGCCTCGGTGGCGTGTTGCTCCCTCTCCAGCTGTTCCGTTTGTCTCTCCATCTCCTCGTGGTAATCCTCCAGGTATTGTCTCCGGTCAAAGGTCGCAATGTCCTCTTTGTGCAAGCGCACGACGATCTCCGGCTTCGTAAAACCTTCCAGGCCGCCGTTCTCCAGCCGCTGCCAGACTGTCCAGATGCGCAGTCGCTCGATCGGTCGCATGCCGTCCACGCCATCCTCAATCTCGTCCTCTTTGTCTCCGCAGTTGAAAGGGCTTGCCAAGGTCCGGGGCCACTGGGAAGCAGGTCGGTACAGGTGCGCCGCGCCGCGCTGGTGGCAGGTGGAGAAGAACAGGGTGTGCAGATTCCGGAAGTTCTCGAAGGCAACGGCTGCATTTTCGTGGCCCCTGTACGAGATCTGCTCGCCGGAGCCGGGGACGGCAAGGTGCTTGACTCTGCGCAGATCGAACTCGACGCCGGGGACTGACTTGGCCCAGCACAAGCCCAGGATTCCCAGGCGCAGGACGTCGATCTGGAAGTCCATGTAGGTGATGCGGTCGCCGCCTTGGCCTTCGCACTGTGTGAAGAGGGGGGAGTAATGCTCGAGGGTGACCGCACGAGACTCGCGGTTCGCGAACAGCGTCGCGGGGGGAAGTCTGCTCGAGATGGCGCTGTAGACTCGGCGAGTGTAACCTCTGTCCTCGGCCCAGATCTCAGTGTAGATGGTGATGATATTGCGCTCGGGAAGGCTCAAGCGCCAGATCTTGCGCCTCAACTCGAGAGGTAGCCTGCTGAATATCGTGAAGGATGCGTTCGGGTCGGTTCCGGTGCTGAGGAACGTCTGGAGACGACGGGCTGCGAACACTGGGAGAGGCTTGTACGTAAGAGGGAGCTGACTGGGAGGAGAGTAGAAGTTAGCACAGGGTCCTCAGTTTGGGAAGAGACTCTTGAGACTCACGCTTCAGTGATTTGGTCGGGGGTCATGGGCAGGAAGGAATCTGGTACAAACAATGCCATCTTTGGGCTGGGAGAAGCTTGTGAAGCAGATCAGTTGCAAAGTAGGGAATCTTCGGAAGGAAGCGGAGAGCGCACGAAGATCGAATCCTCGAGAGTCTCTAGAGAGAGATAAGATGGCCGACTGGACGACGAGGCGCGTACTTGATGGCGTGAGGACAAGTGATTTCCTGGATTCAAGGGCTTGAGAGCTCGAATCTGCGCGCAGGTCGAATCCCAAGCGTCAGTGATGTGGCGCGAGGTTCAAGTTGAAGTTGCGGTTCAACTTTGGAGGAAAGTGAGGATATCACTGGGTGTTTTTGCTCTCACGCGCTAAACTTGGATGGACGAGCGGCAGAAGCTCGGGTTCTGTCCTGATTTGGTGAAAGTAAGAACAACTCCTTCCCAAAGGGTCTTGACACCAAGATGAAAAATATTATGTGTAGCTGAAGGCTAATAGTAAGAAGTGAATTGGCTTATAGGGAAGTGATTGACCGATAAATCCTGTGGAAAGTGGAAAGCAAGAGATCAATCCTTTTAGTAGGGCTTGCCTCCCAGGTTACAATCTATAGAGTTGACGTCAATACCACTCGATATAGTTATATACAGTAAGAGCACATCGCCCAAGGTGATATTCTCAGTGCTGCAGCTTCTTGCTCATTTATTGATTGAGATGCCGCTTACAAGAGGGTAGAAGCTTGCAAACGCCACTGGTCTGCCATTGGGTTTGACGAACGATGTCTCAATCGAACTATTATCGGTGGAAACTTATACAAGAGTAGAGATGCCAGCCAAAGGTTGAGTATAGATGTTAATGTCAAGCTAGAGAGAGGAGCGTGACTAGCTAACAATCCGCGCGCATGTACAACTCGAGAGTTGAAGTCGCAACTTCAAGTGGATATTGGTAATATTGATGAGGATTGTCTCTAGAATGGGTAGCCTTTATGCGACCAGCTTCTCTTGATGCCATTGATTTACAAAAAAACATCTATTTTGAAGTTCTTAAGCGGGTTGGTCCTTCGTCTCCACCTGGAACTTATGTGAAGAGGGTCAGATAGATGTTGAGGGCCATTTTTCTGGCCTCATTCTGGTCGAATAAAGGGACGATGGGGTAGGTCATTGGCTTGTAAACGGTATATGAACTCTCTGTGGCTGCTTTTGAGCCTCATATTCGGGCTGGGAAGAGAGTGTGACCTTAAGAAACAGCAAGTCGGCATTCGCTCAATATCCAGAGGTCATCCCGCGACTCTGAAAAGTTGTGATCATCGGCTAGGATACATGTCTTGTTTGCACCTTCAAATTGATTAGAAACTTTGGGAGGTGTGAGAAAAGCATATCGGGCGAAGACTCAAAGGCGCGCAGATTCAAACTTGCTTCGAAGGAGGTGGAGTAAGGGACCCTTGGCTGATGGGATTGCAAGCATCTTAAGAGCGAAAGCACGGTCAGGTTTCGCCGCTGCCAGCATCAAGGTTTGCCTAACTTACAACATCTGCTATCATGACGGTTTCTGGTCCTGGCTCTTGATTCCGGTCATCTTTCCTTCTCGCCAGGAGACCTACCTAATGGCTAACAATCTCGGGTCACCTTTACACTTGGCAGATTTACAAGCATGATATCCCAACTGGGCAAACAACATTGACCATGTCACCAAGCAGTTCAGTTTCAGTCCAATCTTTTCCAATTATTTAAAATTGTACTCGGCAATCAGAAAGGCGCCTCCTGTGCTTTCCGGTTCCCTCAAATGCATCCCGGACAGATTATTTGTTCTCATATTCTTCTCGTAAGTATTCGACTTCTGGTCTTCTTTGCTCCTCCAAGAATCATGAATTTTTATTCCAATTGACGTTTTCGAATCCAATCTATAATGCGGTTTGTAGTCAGCATCCATGGGGGAAATCGGACAGCAACGGTGGCACGTGCCCTTTCACCTTTATTCCCTCTCGCTTAATGGTCTTGATGTTGAAGGGTGCCAAGGTATTTGGGCATTCGAGCATCAGAACAGGAATACGCGGAGGATGATGGAAGCGGAACTCAAAAACTATGTATCAATCATAGGTATTAGCTGTCTCGTATCTATCTCCGAAGGGGGGGCTGACAGCGTAAGGAGATGCGATCATCATCAGGCCGGGTGTTTTCCCTTGTCGCTACTGCAGTAGACGTACAGCACCTTCTGAGTGTCCTCTCTTACTCAGAAACTCTAGATCCAGCGTATATTCGTTTACCAGAAGGATAGTGGCCTTCTAGAACAAGCATAATCGGGATATCGTGTTAGAGAAAATGCTCAGTCACTCGTGTTTTTGAGATGATAGTTGAACTTCTAAACGGCTTGCATGGCAATGTGATGATAACATATTGTACCGATCTTTTTTATTCGGCCCGTAATCTATTGCGCTTAGAAACCAAGGAATCGAATAAAAGACTAGTAAAAGCTTTGTAAATTTAGAACAAACCAAATAATAGTAGGAGCCTATTGTCCAGATGACCTAAGGATTGAATACAATATATTTGCTTCATAAAACACTCTTAACAAACAGACCGATATTCTTCCATTACTGTTGGCTTGGCTTATTTAAATTATAAATCACGAACCCAGGGTTCTTCCGTTCATATATTCACTAGTGCATATATTGTAAACGGTGCAGACTAAGAGTCTTGGTGAATACGCTTTGCTATCGATGGAGCTAGATGCTTTTAGAATCACCAGCCACAAAGCCGGCTGTCTATATCCCTTCAACCCCTGTTTATCACGCGTCGATCCTTGCTCGGAGCTAGTGGTCGCGTGACTAACAGGCCGAATTCTCACCCTTTAAGAATCCTCGAGCTTTCGGTTTACTCTCCAACTTGGCCACAACACCACAACACCTCAAGGACAAGACCACCTTTATTCCTCGCGTCTTGAGCAGAGCTGCTGCGGAGGACTTATCTAAAGACGTCGTCGAGATGGTAAGTTACTGATTCCTAACATCTGTATTCAGGATACTCCGCTCTATCGATCTACAGTCGGGGCGTCTCCATACACATCTGCCGAGAGATGTGGGCTAACGATACCAATAGCTAATTCTGCTCTCCAAGAAGCTGTCCTGGCCCGTCTTACCAGCTCCTTGTGCAACTGGCAAGTCGACTTTATGAAGCTTGTCAGTGCGGACGACCGCCAAACAAACCTCTCTGGTATCCCTCTTCCGTCACTGCATGCCCCCGGGTATAACCCCAGTGGCCTATGGCCAACTGATAACAACCTTCTCGCCGGTAAGTCAATTTCTAAAACACCACCTCTCCTTCCCTTTGAGTCATTGAGCATCACTTCGTCTCTACTCCCCAGACCTTTATATGATTCCATAATATCCAGAAGACGCGTACATACTAACTGATCTATAATATAAGGGAAAACCAGGTCGACGAAAGCCAGTGCAGACGAATGGCACGTCCGGCGAGAAGACAACCTTTCGGAAGAGAGTGGGAGACTCTTAATCTCTCGAGTAGGAATAAATCTTCGGTCTGCTGTAAGAGACTCCTTCAAGGACGCGCTTCGATATACTTTACTAATTCTGAAGTCAAAGTCTGTAACCAGAACAGATCAAGAAGCTGAACGCCCCTCCTTTAAGACTCAAGTCTGTCAATACGAGAAGCGCAAAGGGTAAGAACGCAGATTTCAAAGAGGCAGAAGGCGAGAGTCGGGTTAAAAAGGAAGAGGAGGAGGAGGAGGGGATATCGAGGTCTATACCTGATAATATAATATTCGACTGACACCTTCATGCAGGTTGACAAGAACCCATGCGGCAACATCACGTCACGGGAGCGGGAGCTCGGCGTCACCACGTACTGCAATTGCAAGGTCGACGGAGGCCAATGCCGCCGCATGGCTCATCCGGCTTTCGGCGAGCGCAGGGGGGACATGGGATTCACGTGGGCCTTTCAGAAGGTACCGGACCGTGCAAGAGAGAGAGAGGATAACCGGGCTAACAACGAGGAGGAGCAGGAAGGGATGTCGAATTCTACACCCGACAATATGATGTTCAACTGTGGCGGTGGAGTCGGCGGAGTCGGCGGTCAGCTTGGAGCTGGCCGTCGGGGTGCCATTGATATAGGAGGATCGAGGGATAGCCGAGCTAGAAACCAGTGAGTGAGCACTCCTTTCTTTTTCTTGCATTAGAGTCTAAGCCTGCCTGCTGACTTCTTCTTCTGCAGGGTTCGGGATCAGCCTATGGGTGGAGTCCTCATGGACAACACGGGCAACGGTGCCAAGAAAAGGTAAGCACCCGCCGCTATTGTGCTCGATGAAGGTACTAGAAGCTGAAAATCACTAGAAATAAGGTAGAGGATACCAGTACCGTCGACAAGGAGAATGACTTCGACCAACCTCTGCTTGAGGCCCGATATCAGGACCAAGCAAACCTTTCCGATATCTTTCTTCCGTCAATGCCCCAATGACCCTTGCGTACAACGCAAGGTAAAGCCTAGCGTATCAGGTTCAACATCATATGCTTACTAATGGCGGCTGGTCATCGACCGATATCGGTCGATTTGTCTTGCAGAAGATGGAGCTTGCGTACAGCATCGAGGCTAGCACTCTGTACAAAAACCTTCACTCATCCTCAGATGCTGCGA